GGTGCTTGGAAGTCACACCTTCTTTCCCCCGAATGGAAGATCCATGTTTCCTTTTCAGGGGCATTGTGGGAAACTTTGTTTACCAATTTCCGCAACACCAAAAGACCCCCGCTTGAAGTTGTTTTTTGTTTTTCTAGTGGATGGTTGACTTTGGCATCACAAGTTTTGTTTAAAAAATGACCACCTACTACAATGACAAGGTTCGCCCCACTTCCAAGATGTCCAGATGGGTCTGGTCCTCTCAGGTTGCGGTGCATGGCTGGCGGCGGGCGGGGACCCCAAACCTGACCAAAGCGTTTGCACGGGTTTTTGGGCCAACGTCTGGTACCATCTGAGACATCATTGCCCTTGACAAGAAGCGAGAGAGAGACAGAGAGAGAGAGGGAGAGAAAGAGAGGGAGCATCCTTGCATATTTCCCCCCTTAGCTGTCCCTCAACATCACCGGCATCCGTGAAATTGCCTGCATTTGCTGTTGAGCATGCGTCATTTGTCCAGGCTTGCTTTAAAGGGAGTCTATCACTACTTTTCTTCTCTGGGGGACTTAAGCGACATGAGGGGTGATATCTCTACCTCCTGTCTAATGTCGATTTGGAGTTCCATAGCTGGAGCAAAAGGCATGGGGTTGGGGTGTACAAGATGTAAGGGTTTGGCCTCGTAGGAGCCCAGTTTAGCTAACATAAACTACAGAAAACACGTGTCGCGTTAAAGCTTGGCTTGTGGCAAAAGAAACATAGGTTCTGCCCTTGCCTCGTCATCTTTGGCTCGGCTCAGCCAAGCGATGCTAGTAGGGCAAGTCATCGGTGATGGCGGACGCTTCGTTTCGGCACTCCCCTCAAATCGCAAGTTTGCAGAATGAGGGGCTGAATAAATACACAGTTATATTGTTGTGATCTTAGTCGAAAAGCAATGTTGGCCCCGGATTACACTCGTCCTAGTAGGGGGGTTGCATCCTTTCCAATGACCCACTTGGTCCAAAGCCAATTGACCGTTTGACCTTTCTTTGGGGTTCCCATTTGCAGTCATGACCAAAACAGGTGACTACCTGTCAGTTCTGAGTCCCAAATTATGGGGCAACTGAGAAACATGTCAATGTCGAAAAAACATAGTTGTTTCCTTGTTAGTTTTAAAGGAATGGGTTTCACTACTGGAGACATCATGTTCTTTATAGTTTTCCAGGCAGCTTACCTAGGAACATCCACCAGGGCTTCTGCCTCTTCCCCTCCCTCCCACTAACATGGCAACTGACAGGGGCCCGGTCACTTCAAAAGCAACTTCATCTTCCAGGTATCTCTTGACAGGTGCCATGTTAGTACTGTGGATGGACAAAATCCTGCACCACTTGGAAACCATGGGAAGCCATTTTTTGTTGGTATCCACAGGGGAATCGAATCATTCTAGGGTTTCTTGTGTGGTGCCTAAGAGGATTTCGGTAGGAAGGGTACCTTTCGAGTTGGATCTACTTCTTTTGGCCAGGCCTCCAGAGCTTCCATTGGCACCGAGGCCCAGTGCTTGAGGAGCCTGAGCTCCGCTCGGCTCGGGCCCTTTTGGGTCACCCGGATTCGGGACTCCGGTTTTTGCCCCTTATCATCATTCTTATCAGCACTACTAAAAACTACATGTATTGTCATGTTTATATGTTAATGTCGTATTGTTGCAATCATTTCCTCATTTTTGGTGGCTTGCAAGTGATGTTCCGCGTCATTTTGCGAGAGTACCACTGGCTCCCTAGGCGGCCAACAACAAATAGGGGCCCCAGTCGGAAGACGTGCCCTTACCCCAAAAGGGTGTCCAACAGCCCCGAGTTTTTTCGGAGCGGTTTGCTGGAAAAAACCGGACGGGGAGCGCTCCCGAAGACAGACGGATCCATCGGACCCGATGGCCAGATCCGACCAGTCCGTCCGATTGACCCGCGAGCGCCACCGGGAGGAAGTGGACCTCAGCTTCGCAGTCCGAGCGGAAGGTTCTTTTCCCTTAGGGCGACTAGGATCTTAGTGTCGCAAGACCCTCTTGGTCCCCCAGTACTGCCCTTCTACCGTTTCTTTTTTTGGGGGGAGGGTTCCCCTACTAAAATAGACCACCGGAAAAAAGGGTACCCTTATTCTAACCTTTCTACTGGAGGACCTAGCCCTTAACCAACCAAACAGATGGCAGCAGTTTGCCGTCGAGAGCGCACAATGAAGCGGTCCATCCCAAATTTCAATGTGGTTAGGATGCTGAATAGGAAACCACCTCAGAAGTGGTTGGACATGAATCCCCACCTGAATGATGAATCGTGATTCCTCACTTCCTAAGTTCATGGACTGCACTTTTTTGGAATACAATGTAGTGGCATAGCGGAAAAGCGTGGACTTGTCTGGTGCCATCCACTCGGGCAGTGACATGCCCACAGAGCGTTTTTCCGATCGAAATTCGCACCCGGAGTGTGTGAAGGGCGTCGGGCGGCTGGATCTGCGCCGCAATCCAAGAGGGGCACAGCCAACAGATGAAACGCCTCCTGAAACCGGTCATCGGCACGGGTGCCGGTGCTGGATGTGGTAACGAGGCAAATACCACGAACCTGGGTGGTGTGTGTGCGTGTGCGTGTGCGTGCGTGTGTGCGCATGTCAAAGCACGGACTGTGAGAAAGGATTTCACCAATGTTAGTTGATCCCAACGTCCTCTCCGGAGTGCTGTTGTCAAATCATTGCCAGACTTGGCTAGCCTTTAGTATCGTTTGGCCGCTTTGGCTTTCCTTCGCTTTCCCTTTCAACCAGCAAAATGTTAACTGTAGGGGCATCGTGAATTTTCTCACTTCATGTTTACTTTTTGCAGGGGCCCAAGTAGGACTAAGAACCCCTGCCATCTTCCGCTGGATGGGTTGCAGGAACTGTGCAGAAGTTCAAAAGGGGGAGCAAAAGCCGCGTGAAGTGCATGCCCACACAGGGCGGCAGTGTTTTTGTTTGGACTTTCACGTGGATGGCGAGACTCGTTGGCTGTAGGGCCCTAGACGGAAAGACCGACGCCTTGTACAGCCATGGGTCGAAACAGGGCCCCAAGAGGGGGGTCTGCGCTTTCCGGTGGGCACGTGACGAGTGCGGCACCTCTGAAAGAGGTACTGCAATCAAGCTTCGGTGGTCCCGGGATCGCGCTGAAGTCCAGGTTGCTTCAACTTCTCAGGGTTGTTGTTGCGAAACATTTTGCATTTTTGCTTATTGTGGTTTAGTGGGAAATCCCCACCTAGCTGCTGAAAAATTAAATTTTGCTCCCCTGCCAACGTCAACCAAGTTCTCGTAGGTAGCTCCCCTCGGGGTTGCTCTTGCATTGGTTTGGGGTTGCGGCCATTTGTTGGTCCCGACGGTGTCCTTTGGAGCGATCTCTGCGAAAGCAGTGCCGGGATGTCGATTTCGACCACACGCGGCTTTCCTTTTGCTTTGCCGGGCGCGCGGTGCAAAAAACAAAGACCGCTGTATATAAAATCGATGACGCCAGTGATAGGCTCCCTCACGAAGAGCTACGAGTTTGCTTCCGGTTGAACCCCTCAAGTTCTGCTTGTCCCAGCAGCAGCGGGGACCCAGCTTGCCCTTCGCCAGGGCTGGCGGCACCTTCTTCACCCCTTGCCCGCTATGGCGAAAAAAATGGGTCTGGGGGGCATCCCCCTGCTCCAACTTTTGCTTCCGCGCCCCGCGCCTCGGCGAAAGTTGCTTAGTCAGGGCATACCTGAAGGGCTGTAGACCATGTCTTCGCGTTAGGCGAGGGCGGGTTGCATCGCGAGAGAATGCAAAGGAAACGAAAGAGAAACAGAACGCGCCTGCTGCGGGTGAGGGTCATTGAGAACCTGGCCCCCCCGCCCCCTTCCGGTGTGTTCATTGAACATGCCCGGCAGATCACATTCAGCTTCCTTCCAAGTGCTTTGGAGCCGAAACGGCGGTTTGGAGGTTAGAGTCGGTTAGAGTTCTCATTTACCCTCAGGAATCAGGGGTTCAAATCCTAATCCAAGCCAATCCAAGCAACAATTTGTCTCATTTCCATAGACACCTTGGGCCCCTGACCCTCTTTGGTGATTTTTTCGTGGGAGGCCAAAAGGAAACCAGAGCATGCCCATGTGGAGATTGGACCGAAATTAGCCCTTCGTCCTCCAAAAATATCAATATCATTTCAATGGAGGCGAATGAAGAGATACGAGTAGCAGGCAAAACGGGCCTGCAAACCGGTTATCCTCCCAGCCCCTTTGAAAGTAGCTTGTGCGCCAAGCCATGTTATTCGGAGGGCCCTCCCTTTTACAGCTGGGTAAAAGTAGGCGGCACATTTTCGTGGGTAAGTCATTCCTTTCGATGACCCACTGGGAATTGTGCCGCCCACTTTCACCTCCCCATATGGTGATGAGCTTTATTCTTGGCTCTTGGCAAGCGACTCGGGCGATGCGCCCGCTTCGAGGCTCAAAGGTGGTGCCGCAGGTGCAGGGAACTCTGACACCAAGGGGTCCTAGTGCAGTAGTCATGCCAATGATCCATGTTGATTGCAACCCAGTCAACAACCCTGCTTGGATCACTCCTTTAAGCCCCCGCAAGAGAATTTTTAGGCTCCTGATTTCTTGCAGGTTGTAATGTGCGGCCTGTTGCGGAGATGCAACGTGACTCGTCCAGTTTGTTCTTCGAAAAGGCGCCATATCATGCAATCTTGCCGATCTTGGCTTCTCATTTTCAGCGATGCAGCTTCTGACGTGGTGGGTCAAACTCAAGCACTGGTGTCTTTCCTTTGCCTAATCTTCCAACGGGGACTTGTCGATTTCTGTCTGGTTTGACCCTCTGCGTTCAAAAGTCCGGATTTGCCAACATTGCGAGCAAGCCTGTTGCTTCGACCTGTGTGTGTGTCCTTGTGTCTTTGTTTTTTTGACCGGCTAAGTACTTACTTGGCACCTTTGAGAGGTCGATATGCAACTGACCAGCCCACACCCAGCCAACTGACCAGCCCAGACACCCATCCATCCAGCACAGCTGACCAGCCCAGATACCCAGCAGCCCAGATCTTCACGCCCCAAGCCCTCGAGGGCCATGAGGAAACGCCTCTGCGACGTGCGCTGTGTGAGTCTTGAGGCTCGCGGGGGGGGTGCAAGGTTCAATTTTCCCAGCGAAGAATTGGACCCCCGCTTGCTGCTTGGCTTGTGGGTCTTTGTTGAGGGCACCCGGATCCATAAAAAGGGGAACTGACCTCATAATCTTAGGGGCAAAAAACAGTTCTGATCGATTTTGAGGCTCCAGGCAGCTGTTTCGCGGGCCTTTGCAGCGGAACAAGCAAAAGGATCCCCAGTTTCACGATACGGGTTGTCAGGCTTTCTTTTGGGTCGGCGTGGTTTGTCTTCAGGGGCTTTACGCCATGCGGACTTGAAGCACTTGCTGGGAGGAGCTGGCGGCCAGTTGGGTGAAGAAAGTTGGGATGTTTTCAACGTAATGTTGACCCCGGAGTAATAAACCCCTGTTTATTAATATGGGGGTGTCCCTGGTTTTATTTGGGATTTATCACTTTTGGAGGGGAACACCCCGGTTTACTAATACGGGGTCAACATGAACGTACTGCGGATGGACAAAATCCTGCACCACTGAAACCATGGAAAACCATTGTTTGTTGGCATTTACATAGGAATCATCGTTCCAGGGTTTCTTAGCTGGTGCAGGAGTTTGTCCATCCACAGTAGCTCATCTCGATCCACTCAGTCGAGTGGCAGGCATGTCTTGCCTCCTGCGCGGAGGGCTTGCGACTCCTGCGGAAAGAAACACGCGGAGGCCGGAGGAGGCCGTTCAAGAGAGCCGCGCATCAGTTGGGGGTTGCTTTTGTTTTTGCATTTTTGTTGAGGATTCAACCTGAAATTAGGTCTGGGTGAATTATAACAACCTCACACGACCTCACCCCAAATGGTGGTGTATGGTGGGCAACCTGAAATCAGGCCTCAAGTTGAAAGCACCGAGGAACCCCCCATGTCTTTTTTCGCCCCTCGCCATCCCCCACCCTCTCCTGTTTAAGACATATCCTGCGAATGTGGCTACACACAAGTATCTCGTGCGGGATGCTGATCTCCCACAGGGCCTGTTTATTCGGATGGGGGTTGTGCTTTTTTGAGGAGAGGTCCTCATTTTGACACAAACCATTTAGTTGTCAAGTTGGAGAGCTTCCAGATTTGTCCAATGGTCGCCTCACATGGCGGATTGGTGAACTTGACCATGATGAAGGATCATTTCTTCGGGGATTCCAGGCCGGTGAATCGCTTTGTCTGTTTTGCCCAGAACTACATTCCTTTCCCATAGGCGAAATGCTGCACCAGTTGGTAGGTGGTTTATCTGAGGTTTCCTAGCGTTGCATCAACGGCTGCGGGTAGTTTGAGGGTGGTAGCCCTGTTGCTCAGGAAACTTTGCAGCCTCATAAATTTCATTACACATAAGTTATGGACGTTGGGAAACATTTTACATTTTTGCTTATTGTGTGTGGTTTAGCGGGAAATCCAACCACTTAACTGCTAAAATTTGAACATCTTTGCTCCCATTCCAACGTCAACCAAGGAGCCCCCCAAATCCTCCCGACGAGGCCGCGCCTCTCCGGTTCAGCCGCTTCGGCTTGTGCCAGTTGTGACGAAAGCAACGTCGCGGCCGGCGGCGTTGGATTGGGAGGCCTGGGAGGTTGGGGAGGAGACACCGGTGACGCTCAAGGAGCGACGTGTGCCGTGTGTTTTTTTAGCTTGGTGTTTGCTGTCGTTGTTTTTGTGGTTTTGTTGGTTTTGTGGTTGTGTTTGTTTGCTAGCTAGCCAGCTAGCTGGCTAGTTAGTTGATTAGTTGGGTTTGTTTGGTTGCTTGCTTGCTGCACCCAATCCAGAAGGGCGCTTGCGTTTCCGAGCTTTTGGCTCCTTTCTTGCTACCGAGGGAACTTGTAAGACAGCATGCACCCCCCTCTCCTGGCAAGTTTTTGGACCTTACTTTTTGGGAAGACCAGTTTAGCTGCAATCCAGTTTGCACTTTTTGTGGCCAGTCCAGGGAAGTGTTTTGTTGCTGATTTGTGGAGAAGAGCTATCCGGGTGGATCTTCGACGTTTCACTTTTTGGGAACTGAGGATTCTCCCAAAAGACTTCAGATGTGATGTCCTGAACCCTGCAAAACGGCATTTGGCCAGCATCCGCCTCCGGCCCGGGACGAACGGAGCACCTTATTTTTACTGTTATTGGGTTGGACCTTTAGACTTTAACCTTTTAGCTTCCCCTCATATTTCCTTTTAACCAGCAAAAAGTTTAAAACTTTTTGCTGGGGGATCTACAGCACCCAAGTCATGGGAGCAAAAAAAGAGCCGCAGGAGATGTCCAACTGCCTGGCCACCCCCGGCTCGGTCTCCACCGCCTCTGGCCTCGGGAGCGCTCCCGGATCTGGCCTGCGGATCCCCGCGGGCTGCTCCCTGGCGGAGGCGCGGGCCTAAATGGGGCGCCTGTGGCTTAAGAATATGTTTTGTATTTCCCCCGCTGGCTTTAGAGGGAATCTATCGCTACTGGAAATATGTTCATTTGATTATTTTGGTCTTAACCACATGGAAGGCTGGTATCCAATTTGCCGACTCGGAGCAGGACGAAGGGAGGAGTTGGAGTTCTGGTTGATGTGGCGACTGGTAGTGTTGCAGCCATAGTTTACTCTCTGCCAAAATTTGATGGCCCTCGTCAGACTTGGGCAAAGGGAAAGCCCACATGTGTTTGGGTCCGATGGATGCTCGCTCCCGCGATGCCCTTGCTTAAAACCCGCTTGTTTGCTTAACCACCTGTTGGTTTCCCTGAGGTGGCCAGACTGCGAGATCCGTTGATCACATGTCGTCGGGGATTTGGGGTTTGGCCCCTCACGGAATCCACCAGAGGGTCCCTAAACAAAATTTGCCTTTCAGACCCGCTACTGGTTGCTTTGGTTCAGGTGATGCCCAAGTGGCTAGAAAGAACTTCTGTCGGCGAAAACAGGTTGGACCATGTTGGCCCCCTGTGCTTTTGTTTGCCCAGGCAAGCCGGCACGACAATGTTCCGCGTTCGTTGCCCCGGAGAAAGAACCACACAGACAAAACACAACTAGCAACAATAAAACAAAACAAAGCAAAAAGCACACCCCGCCCCCCAAAAAAAAGAAACAAGAAAAGAACGCAGCACAAAGTAAACATCACACCCCCCCCAGAAAAAAATACAATAAAAATAAAAGAACCGTAATCAAGAAGCACCCCCCCTCAACAAAAATCCAAACAAACAGCCCGCAGGGAATGCGCATGCTGCTGCTACACCACCTGCGCCGCCTCGCTGGCGTAGGCGGTGGGCGGTGGGTTTGGGCGGGCGCTGAGTCCAAGTTTGTCGGGTTCAAATGTCCGGTGCTCTGCAGATTTGACGTATATCTAGGTCCCCCAGCTAGGTACCCTTTTGCCAACTTTTTTTGGGGGGAGGGTTCCCCTACTAAAATAGCTAACCTCTCTCCTGGAGGACCTAGTATATCAACATGGACCCCCCACTAGAAACAAAAAAAGAAAGGAGGGGTCTCCAAGAGGAGGTTTCTCTCTAGAACTTGTTTTTTGTTTTTGTTTTTGGTGGGCAGCCATGTTGATTTCGGGCGGGAGTGGTCCATTCAGCTCAGAGCTGCACATTTTTGAAGCTGTGGGTTCAGGGGTGCTATCCAAAGTCCTAAGATGGCCAGAGATGCAGCGAAGCTCATGTCATACCTGGCTTAAATTGTGCTTTCTAACGTTTACTTTTCTGAGTTTAGAGGGATGAGAGAGACGGCCTCCGAAATAGCTTTGATCAAGTGAACGCACCTGGGCTGATCTGGCTCTGGGTCAAAAATGGGTACCCAAAATGGAACCCTGGCAAAATGGAAACAAAGACCGACACCGCGTAACCCTAGCTCTAATTTCGAGCCACACCCATATGTATAAGTATATTTTTACGGGTGGACGGCCTTGCAGTGGCATTAAACCTCACCGTTTGGATCAAACCTGGAGGCGTTCCTGAACCGCAAATGAGCCACGTCCTGAAAACCCGGGTAGATGACGGTTGGCAAGGGATAATCCCAACCACAAATAGCTGCGGATACCCGCTTGAAGCATGGTTCTGGGTAGACCATTTCAATACTGGGTTTTGATGATGTCTCAAATGTTCGTTCGCCAACACCGGGCGGAAAAGTCCAGTGCCACCAAAAAAAAAAAACGAGGCTTCAAGGGTGCTGCTCACTTCCCGGCGCTCCTTTGTCCCGCCAAAAAGCGGCGAAGCGGCCGTTTTTTTTGGATGTTTTTGTTTGTTTTTTTGGGCGCGATAGGCAGGGAATGAGAAATTGAATGAACCTGGGGATTCCCTTAAAGGAAACCACCAGTTGGATGGTTTATCTCGGGGTCATTCCATTTCTCATCCCAGCTTCCCCTAATTGGTGGTTTGGTTTGGTGGTTGGGAACTGGGGTTCGAATCCCAAACCAATCCAAACCGCCAAGTTGACCCCGGATGAATCAACCCTGTTGATTAATATGGGGGTGCTTCTCCCTGGTTTTAGCGGGGATTCAGACCACTTTTGGAGGGGCCCCCACTAATCCGGGGGCAACCTTAGGGGGAAGCTGAGCGGCGGCGCCTTTTTCTTCTTTTTCCAGGCGACGAGCCGTCCGGCCAGCAGCGGGAGCTGGAGAGGCATTTGGCGCAGCTGGCCTCCTACTCAGAGACCCGGCGAATTGGGTGGAAAAGGCGAGAGATCCCGGAGGAAACAAACAAGTTGTCCCTTTTCTGGTTTTGACTCGAGCTTTCCAAGCCAAGTTGGCCATTGAGCCGACAAAAGGTCGATCACGACCTATTGCCTTTCATTTGCTTAAGTTGTTGTCTTTTTCCTGGAAGAAGGAAGCTGCTCGCAAAATAGACGCCTCACCCCCTCCCCCCTCCCCCTGGGTCAAGCAACCTCTGCCTGTAAATAAGCCCGGTAAAAATGTAAAGACATGTCCAGTAGTGATAGTTTCACTTTAGAACCAACAGGCAAGTCTCCATCGTATGGCGGAGGTGCTTCCTCCATTTTGTCTGGGGGGGGGGGGAAGCATCAGCAATTGAAGGTTGCCAACCCCCGGGGCCCTCGCGGGTCCCAGAGGAGGGGATTGAGGCAGGAGGATTTAAATCGGGGTCATTCCATGTCTCAGTCCCCCGCTACTGCCATTCTCTCCCCTTTTATGGCGGAGGGAAACCCTCTACTAAAATAGCCTACAGAAAAAAAAAGTTGGTCCCAACTTATTCGAACCTCTCTACTGGAGGACCTAGATTGTAGACTCCAGATTGTCCATCCTACTCGCAGGGGTTGCTGAGCTGAGCCCAGGAGAAGCTCCTGGCCTGCCTCCGCGCGGTTTCCACGGCGCCCTCGGCGCCCCCGGAGCCGGCGGCCTCGCCGGCCGCTTCCAGCGCCCGTTCCGCGGCCTCCGGGCCTGGCGCTTCGGCGGGCGCGGCGGGGCGGGCCGCACGGCCGGCGGCCTGGCCGAAGAGTGATAACGTGGGGGAAGTCCCACACCACTTTGAAAACAATGGAGCTTAATTAATATAAGCACCATTGATTTCCTAAGAATTGTCATGATCTAAATTGGGTCAAGCATTCTTTTAATGGGGGCTGAACCCTACTGTGGATGGTTAAACCCATGTCAGCACCATTTTGAAGCCATGGTTGAAAAACATAACGTTTGTTGGTTTTAATAGGGAAGCATCATTCCTGGCTTTCAAAGGTGGTGCAGGACTTTGTACATCCACAGTAGGGTGTTCAGCCACCTGGCGGTTACACCAACTACTGGAATTCCTCCCCATAATTTTGGGGGCAACCTATTTCAAGGGAACTTTGAGGGTCTGTTTGTTTAGTTGTATTTTAGTTTGTTTGTTGTGTTCATGTTGCGCTTTTCCTGACTTCCTGGACTGTAGTCGTTTTTTGGGAAGATGGTATTGGATATAGCAAGTTTGGGCTTACTCTGGAAGTGAGCGTTCAATCGATCATGGAAGTGGACGGAAGGCTTCTGGAAGACTTTTGTTCTTTTGAGCCGGCCCTGCCCACTTCGATGACTGACGGAAAGAGGGTAGCAACCGTGATCATCATTTGGTTGGTTCTCTTATAACGGGGGACGGTCAGCCGACTTTCTAACTTGGTTGAACCCGAGTAGCGTCCCTTGTTATAGTGGCCCATGTTGCCTGGGCCAACAGGGAAGGATGCCCTGCGAAATTGGCCAGCCACAGAGGTTTACCAATTTCTATGGTGACCTGAGGGGTAAGTCGAGATCACCATCATGTAGGTTCTGCACCTGGGGATCCTTTTCTCAAAGTTTTTTCTTATTTGTAGAATGTCCAGATCATAAGAATTCCAACCCCCCCTTTCTTGGTGGTGCTCGGCAAGCCACCACGAACCAAATCCCAGTGCAAGACTACCCTAGGAATCCCGTCTCGTTTTCGCAGCTGCCCAAAGTTGGCACCCTCAAACAGAAAGAAAAACATGTCCCCACTTGTACCTCAAACAGAACCAAAGTGGGTTCGTTGGTTCACTGCCCCTTTTAAACCCGGCCGTTTTGCCGTTTTGCCCTTTGTTCTCTTCCAATTGCTTAAGACTATTTGTTATTTTCCCCTGTTGGTTTTACAGCGAATGTATCACTACTGGACATATGTTTGTTTATGTTTTCGAGGGGCGAAAACGCAAATGGAAGCAATGTGTCTTGTTTAAGGCAAGTTGAACCACCGGTCAACCCGTTGGTTTGTTCGTTTTTGCTTTCAGCGACCCGGCGCGAAAACGCAAATGGACCTCGTAAGGTCCGGCTGAGAGATAGCGAGCTGCTGGAGATCTACCGCTGCGCCCAGCAAGAGGCCTCCAGGGAAGCCGAGCCTTGGACGTGTTTTTTGTTTTGGTTTATTATTTCTTTTGGTTGTTCCGTTTTTTTTTTTCTCATTTTTTTTCCGCGATCCCAGCGGGTCCCTTAACAAGGGCTACCCCCATAGGTGTCCTTTTTGGGTTTGCGTGGTCAAAAATAGAAGGCACTGGTTTAGATGGCTTTGATTCGATTGACCGGGGCCATCTATTTTTCCCAAAGGCCACCTATGCTTGGACTTCTTCTTTTCTTGGCGATCGGTGGGTCGTGGTGGGTCCCTTAACTAGGTCCCCCGGCTAGGTGCCCTTTGACCAACTTTTTTGGGGGAGGGTTCCCCTACTAAAATAGACAGCCAAAAGGACCTAGTTGAAAATGGCTTCCCCTGGATCCATGGCAACCCTTTTTCCCCCTTTTATTGAACACATATGACACCTGGAACTGGGAGCTCCCCCGCGCCCACTACTTAAGGCGGGATCCTCGCTGGCTTTGAGCTTTCGGGGCTTCAACCGGAGTGGCGAATTCAACGGCTCCGGGACTTTTTCTGGGTCCCCCAGTAGCAGGGTTGTGGGATTGCTCGGGGTTTATCCAACCACTTCTGTGATAGAAGTTGGAATCCCCTGTTTAAATGGGGGTGGTAGTCTTTGGGGAGACCCTTTTGTTGTATCGCAGGAGTGGTCATTTCCCACAGCCCTGCCCAGTAGTGCCCTTTTACCACCTTGGGGGGAGATTCGGTTCCCCTAGTAAACTAGACTACAACAAAAGTTGGCACCCGGATTCTGACCTCTCTACTGGCGGACCTAGTTTTGTTGGGGCCAATCCACTTGATCGGAAGGGAGTTCCGGATCTAAGTGTTGAACCCTGGCGGGAAGGGCAACGGAGAGTTGGGGAGCTGGGGTTCGGTATCCAAATTTGCGAAAGAGGGAGCACTCTGAGCTACCAGCAGTTCTGGTTGGGGACATGGCCGGCCCATCCTACTAAAAAGGAGGTGTTGACTCCAAAAGCCGGACGGGTTGGGTGCCTTTCTTTTAACGTAAACCCAGCAGTTTATTTCCTAAAAAGAAGAACCCCTGGGTTTAAGCCTACCTCGGGTGTGTCAAAGGGGAACAGTCTAAATGGGTGGTTTCCTGTTCGTTTCCCCTTTAAATCAACTCAAAAACAAAATCCTCTTAAAAAAGACGCCCATTAGGGGCTCAATGGGTGTGTCTTTAGTTTGGGTACCTGATTGGGGGTTGGCTTGAAAGAGCGCAACGCATTTAGGCCCCCTCCAAAAAGGAGACTCACACACAGGAGCCTCTTGTGATCATGACTTAGGTTGGCTTTCAAGCTCCCCACAACCTTATTCTAATGTTTTACCACGCCATCCCCGCCTTGAAATGGAATTGATACGTGCCAAGAAGGGGGATCCCCCAACATGTGGCTTCCTTTCATTCGTTCAAGCCATCAGGGCGCACAAAGCAACACGCCCAAACGACTATTTGCGGTGGTTGTCCCTTTTTTTGCGGCGTTGGTTTGCCTCCCCCCCCACATTATTTCATTTTCTCGAGGACTGGCGAGGCGTTTGAAGAAACCGAAAGACCGCAGGCCCAGGCGCGGTGTCGGGCGAGGTTTCGGGCCGTCTTTCGGAGGGAGAGGGAGGGATGTTTCTGGCTGGCAGGGTCTAGAAAAATGCATTTTTTTAAGGATCCCTAAGTCGTGATCAAGAAGGCAAAACGATCATTTGCCAGAAAATCGATCAAATTCAACAGCTTTTGGGGCAGCAGGAAGGATCTGGCTTGCCGTTGGGCCCTCAAAGCTGGTTTTTCAAGGGCCCCTGAGGAATTGGTCGGGGTTCTGCATTGCAGGGTCCGGGGGTGTGCATTGGAGGGGTCATGACCCGAAGCGATAGATATTTTTGGACAAGTTGGGCTTGTCTCCCCATGATGAAAGGAACCCACAATTGAATCCCGAAAGGGTACCGACAGACTTTTGACGGCTCTTTTCAATGCACGCTAAGGATGCGGTACCCAGAGTCGCCCAAATCGAATTGGACGACTGTTTGATCTCTTGGAGTTTGTGGGCTTATACGTTTTAGCCGCAAGTGATTATATATAGGTGAATCGTTTTGAGGGGACCCCCAAAATCGGCGGTGTTCCTGTTGGCTTCCCTTAAGCAAGACTCCCTCAAAACAGGCACCCTTTCAAAAAGAGCCAAACCCGTATAGACTCGGCGCCTAGGGGAAGCGACAAGCGGCCGTTGCAGGTGCCTTTTGCATCGAATTCGATGCTCAGTGAGTGGACACGTCCAGGTTCTCCTCCGATCGTTTGTTTAGTGTAGTCGCCCTTGGTTGAACACAAATCACCTTCCAGAAACTTTCGGACCTCTCTTGAGGCAAAGCGAATCGACCGGATGTGACTTTCCGCTGTCCTGGTTCTACCGTTAGCTAAGGGTCTAAAAGGTGAACCTTTCATTTCCCGGTCCAAACTGGGCAAGTGAGTAATGCCTTTAAAATTGGGGGGTGGCAACAGGCGAACCCTAATTAGTCCACCGCTGGACATCGGTCAGAAGTGCAACGCGGGGAACCCGCAAGCGAATGTGCATGTGGAATTGACGTCACGGCCAGCGCCGACTTACCTTTGAGCAAGCAAGCAGTCCTACTTGGACCCTCAAGATTTCCTTGAATGGGTTGTTGCCCAATCTTAGTTTATTTTTCATTTTCTTTGGTAGTTTGAGTGTGCATGTACTTACCCGGAAAACAAACGAATATTCAACACAGCTTGGTTTCTGCGCATGCCGGTGGTTGCTGGCGCCGGCACGTGTTTCATGGAAAATGACAGGGTGCGGCATTATTGGAGGGGCGGGCAGGGCAGGGTTCATGGCAAGTGGCTGGAAGCTGATCTTGGCTAGGATCATTTCACACTCATCCCAAAGCAATTTATTGTTGACCCTTGATTCATCTCCCTATAAATCAAACAGGAGTTTATTAATCTGTTTTCATCATTAGTTCATCCAGTGGGCACGAATGTGTTTTGCTTATGTGAGCAATCCGAATGAGCGGAAGCTATTAAGTGAAGACAAAAAGCACAAGTGAAACGACGCGAGCTAGCCACATGTAGTGGTACTTGCAACTCGGGCCTCCAGGATAGCTTCGGAAGCCAGCATACAGGATCATACAGGTGTCGAAAGCAAGCATGAAAACATAGGCCCACCCAGCTATTTGGTCTTTTTGTACATAAATCAGGGGGCTTCCCCAGACGTTGCATGGAGCCGCATGGAGCGATGAGATGGTTAGAGCCTGCTTGTCCCATCAAGCCACGGGGCCCCCATTGCACGCTGGCACGTAGGCTCGAAGCGTGCGTGTGTGACAACGGCTGAGCCCATTTGGACGGTTTCTCAGTTTCTTTGTGGGCCCCAAATCGGTTCAAAGGGGCTCTAAGGTACTTTCTACAAAACAAACTAAATATTGATTATGGGGTGAATTAACGCTGTAATTGCAAAGCCCCTTGCGTTGCTGCCTGCGAAAAATATTCTCAAACCCGAATGAGGCCTGATCATTGCATGAGTTCGGGTGTCCATGACAATGGTGCTCGATATGAGGCAGTAAGGAAGACAGCTACCGGCATTTCCCTTATTGCTGGCTTTAAGCATCGCCTTTAGGCTCGATTCCGCGTTTCGAGCTTCCTTCAACAGGGCTCCTTAAAAGATACATTTTGCCCATTTGACACATGTTTTTTTCCACCAAAATAAAGGGAAACCACCATTTACAAAGCAATGTTCAGGTGTATATTGTAAGGATCCGCCCTGTTCAAGTGCTATTGTACGGGACAGCCGCCCGGTGGGCCCCAAGGCGTCCGCAATGCTAGCAAAAAGGCCCCGTGCATGAGCGCACTGCGGGTGTAGCGAGCAAAAGCAACTCGCAAAACGGGCCACATGCTTCCATTTGCTTTTTCTTCTTCTTTTCGATCTGCAGGTTGATTGCGCCATATGTTTGCTCTCGGCCGCCCAAAATGTTGGAAGCCCGGCTTCGTTCAAAAAACAAAGCACAACCACATGTTTCAGGTCACCACATGTTTCAGGAAGAGCTTGTACTAGGATGTTTGGCCAAGAAAGTAAGTGGTTAGCTACCTGGGTTATATCCCGCCAACAGGGTTCTGGGACCACTACTTGGGTTGTCACCTGGGTTACTAACAACTTGCAAACCTTGACAACGAACACCCAAGTATCAACCACGAAAAGCCGAAAAACAAGCTGCGAATATGTTTGCAGCTTTTCGTCACCATCTAGGTCCCCCAGTAGTGCCCTTTTACCCTTTTTTGGGGGAGGGGTTCCCCTACTAAAATCGACCACAGAAAAAAGTTGGCACCCTTATTCTAACCTCTCTACTGGAGGACCTAGGCATTGTCCAGGTCGCTTGGGCAACTGAGAGGGGAAAAAGGGTGGGGGTCGCGCTCCGCCGGTCTCCGGTGGAGCCATGGGGAAGTCCAAGCACCGGATCACCGCGGACGGGCGGTGCCAAAGGCAGCGGAAGAACGAGGCGGGGCCGAAAAGTGGGAGTCGGGGGGTCGCTGTTGCTTTTAAACCCCAGTTGCCCGGTGGCTTGCTTCCTGTTTTCCTCTTTTTGGGGAAGGGTTCCGATTCCTGTAAAGTCAACCGGCCAAAAAAGGGTGCCGATTCTTTTGCCCGAAAGCATCGCGAAGGGTTCTTCCGCGCGGAGCTCTCGGACCAACTTGCATAGAGTCACTTGCGCAGAGACAAATACATAGAGCCAAGTGCATGGAGCCAAGTGCATAGAGCCGTGCATAGAGCCAAGTGCAGAGAGCCAAGTGCATAGAGCCAAGTGCAAATAGAGCCAAGTGCATAGAGGCAAGTGCACAGAGCCGAGTGCATAGAGCTGAGTGCACAGAGCCGGGTGCATAGAGCCGAGTGCATAGAGCCAAGTGCATGGAGCCAAGTGCATAGAGCCAAGTGCATAGAGCCAAGTGCATAGAGCCAAGTGCATACAGCCAAGTGCACAGAGCCGAGTGCATAGAGACGAGTGCGTAGAGCCAAGCGCGCAGAGCCGAGTGCATAGAGCCGAGTGCATAGAGCCGAGTGCATTGAGCCAAGTGCATAGAGCCAAGTGTAAAGCGCTTCGGCGTTAGCAGCTATCTAAGAGAAGTTTAGCTTTCTTGGGCGCCGGGGCAGGACCTTGATCGTCGATCGGGATTGCAACGCTCTGCGGGGATCGGCGTGATCGAGGTGCAAAAGCTCGAGGTTTTTTGCGATTTCTGATCTGCCCGCGCGACCCTCTGCGGGTATCGGCGTCGTCGAGGTACAAAAGTGCGCGGATGAACCCTCTGAGGGGATCTGGTCGAGGTAGAGAAACTCGAGGTTTTTTGCGATTCTTGCGGTGCCCGCGCGACCCTCTGCGGGGATCGTCGTGGTCGAGGTGCAAAAACTCCTTTTTTTTGTGGTGCGGTGCGCGGATGAACCCTCTGCGGGGATCGGCGTGGTCGAGGTACAAAAACTCGAGGTTTTTTTCGATTTCTGATCTGCCCGCGCGACCCTCTGCGGGGATCCTGGCCACACCCCTCGTCCCCAAAACCCAGCCAGCTTAAGCCTAAGCAGGCAAATTAATGACCTCAACCCGCTCACAAACCTTCATTTGCTCAAGTGTCCTGGGAGAAAAAAATGCACATATTTCCAGTTGTGCAAGATTCCAACAGGGGAATACAGGGCTTGTCTTTCTCTAGGGACCCCCCCCCCCTCCCCGCGTATGAGTGGTTTTCCTTTTGGCGTTCCTTTCAAACCGCCCAGGAAGAGGTCCCCTAAAAAGTGACACACCCACAAATGAAACAGAACATGCATTTTGCTTGAACAACATGATTTTCCGCGTGCCCGGATGTGGATTTTGCCAAGGTTGTCGCTGCTTCTGGGAAATCACCCTGAGCCACCCATTTCCTTGTTGGTGCGATAGGGAAAGAGAAATGGAATGGACCTGACAACCATCCAACTGGTGGTTTTCTTTATTCGGGGTTGGGTTCATTCCCACATTCCCTACTGAGCCTTTTGTGGATTTCATTCTTCCCCTTGTTTGGTCCTCTTTTCGTGCTCTTTTGCCATTCCACAGGTTGGTGGATCCACAGATTGGCCACATCCAACCCAGAAACTCAGATGCCCAGTGGATTTCCACGAAAACTAGAGGATGATTGGCCCGAAAGCATTTTCCTCAAGCATCTCCGCAGAAGGTTCATCCGCACACCGCAAAAACGCAAAAAACCACGAGTTTTTGCACAGGACTTTCCCTTAGACCTGAAATTGCGGAGGGGGTCAATGTTTTATTTTGTTTTTCCATGCAGGGACCCTCCTGTGAAATCAACAGCCCGAAAACCGGCTCCAGGGCCGAACCCTCGATCTCTCTGTTTCCAAAATATGCAACCCATATAAGCGACATTGAAACTTCGGGGAGGGATGGGGGAGGTTTGGCCGTAAAAAAACACACAAAAAGAAAAGGCCCACGGGTTCTACAAAGCTTGCCGGGGTCAACATCATGTTGACTTCCATTTTCTTGAGATGTCTTGAGGTTTTGTTTCTCTTTTTCTTGGGGTACCTTCCCCATTCTTTCCAGGGATCCTTCTTTCTAGAAAACCAGCGGAATCCCAGGGAAAACGGATCTGGCTTTTGACAAGAACGATGCTTGAAAACAATGGGCAAGGCTAGTTTTTGTTGCATGATTTTCCCCTGTTGGGTTTTAAAGGGCATCCGTCACTACTGGCCAGATCTTCCAATGTTTTCCAGCAAACCAAGCAATGGCCGAGGGCTCTGCGTGGACCTGTGGGAGATGCCGCAGCCTCGGTCTTTACGCGCCTGGGGATGCCCGGGGCCAGGGGAAACTGCCGCTTCTCTTGCAGAAGGCCACCAGAAGCCCAGGCAAGTTGTGTTGTCCTTCTTTTTTGGTTGCCGAACCACGAACCACCCATAAGACATGTGTTGAACAGAAAGAAAGTGGGATCAAACGCAAACACGCGCACGCAAACACGCACACAAATATATATATATATATATATATACATTTTGAGAAATATATATATATATATACACGTATATTAGCAACTGACTATTCAACTGCGTTTAGTACAGCCGCAGCCAATGAGATGACTTGGAGGTGTGGATAGCTTCCTATTCCCTGCCGGGAATTTTCGTGGAAACAATAATCATGGGAGAAGTACTTCTTTTTTGGCCAATCCACTCAGGAAGTGAGTCCATGATGAGAACTCCAAGAAGGGACTTGGGACCTGGGACGCAGTGTCGTTTCCACTCCCCAAAGCGGCAAGGCAGTTTTCGGAACGAAGACGGCGCGAGTTGCGACTCGGCTGCACGTGAGGCACCTCCCTGAGGGGCGACTGAGCGGCTTCTGCCTTTCTTGGATCTTCAAGCTTGGTTGATGCCGGTTCCGACCTACTCCCTGCATCCTGGACTTGGGCTACTTTTTGGGAATATGCTTTGTGGCAAGTAAACAGTTTGGGCTTTCTGTGGCCAATCCACTCAGGAGGCAAGCACCCACAAAAAGGTACACTTTTTGCAGAGGGGTTAACAGCAACGACGCCTTTTGGGATCTTTTGGGGGGGGGAGGGGACGACGGGGAACCTCCACTTGCCAGCAAGAGTTTCAAGGGCTTTGTTGTTTTGTGCAGGGGTCACAGTCCAAATGAGAGGGTCTTTGGACAAGTTCACCTGCAAGCCGTCAAACTTTTGGTGAGCCACAAGTGATAGTCCCAACCACACATGGGTGACATAGTTTTGGGTCGATTTTAATTCGCCGGGAATTTCAATCCCAAAGTGGACACGGCAGCTGGGCAGGACCCAGTGGTGGATTCCCTTTGCTGCACTGATCCGGACAAGATCCATTTCTTTCCAAGAGAAACGGAATAAATATATAATTGGCACCCCCCGAGTTGGAGAGCCACTTTGATCGAGACCCGGGTCTCGATCGTTTTGTGGCCTTCAAAATTGGTAGTTTTTAAAACGGTCCCTCGGCATGGTGGTGGTTGGGAAACCGGCTGCGGTTGAAATTTAAATCCACCCTCGTCCCTTGAAAACTGCGCCTCTCACTCCCTTGGGGCCGAGCTTGGTAGCTTGATCCCACTCAGCCAGTCGAAGTGACCGAGCGAAGCCCATTGAACCCACTACTGTGGATGGACGAAGTCCATTTCGCACCACGGGGAAACCATTTTTTGTTGGTATTTGCAGGTGAATCATCATTCCAGGGTTTCTAGATTTTCGTCCATCCACAGTATGAAAGGTGATGGAAGCTTACATAACCCTAAGGCCCTAAGGCTACACCCTTTCATCCAACCTGAGGAAAGCTTACGACCTGAGGTTCTACACCACCAACCCACGGGATATGTCGCAAATCTCAAGCTTCATTCGCAGCTCATGCCACGGGGCCAACCATTGCACTTCGGTTACGCAAGGGGTTCCCTTTGTAGTTGCTTTTCAATAGGGATCATGGAAACGGATTGGCCAACACTCCACTTGCGGGTGCTGAGCATGGAATGAGTTGGAATGACCCCGATGTAAGCCATCCCCCATGGTTTGCCTCAAAAGGGATCCCCTTCATTCCCTTTCTCATCCCGCACCTGTCGCACCAGCAACGGCCCACTTTGGGCGAAATTTTCGAGGCCAAGTCTGCGAAGAGCCCAGGGAAGCCTCAGAAGGTCGCTTGACTTAATTAGCCTGGCTGGTGCTGAGCAGGGAATCAGAAATGGAACGAACCTGGGGATTCCCTGAAATGAAAACACAGGGGATGGTTTATAAGGGGCATTCCCTCATTCCCTGCTCAGCACCAGCAAGTAACAGAAGGCTCAAACCACTCCCTGAGTTCCGTTTTGGACTGAAGAGTCAGTCAGTTGGAAAGATGGATAGTGGCAAAGAGAAGTGTTGCGACCTTTTTGCTTTCTTTGGCCAATTCGGCAGCTAAGTCCAGCTACACCAGTTGCCCATATTTACAACCTACTTATACTATAAGTTGATTGAAGACCCACGAAGGGGTCTCCTCCAGATGGTTTTTGGTGGTTGACACCATCTCTTGGGCCAGGGTTTCCTGTTTTTTGGCACCTAGCTGGGACACTAAAATATAGTTGGTTCAAAGGAAAATGGCCAAGTTTAGGACAGCATTCGAAGGAGTTCATCCATCCCCAAGTGGTGCAGGATTTAGCCCATTCACAGTGTTGCGGTGTTTCCCTGTGTCGTTTCCTTTGAAACGAGCCAAGCAGTTTCCTTTGAAACGACGTCACCAAACCTGTAGTTGTAACCTGTGGTCTCCGGAAGCATCGAGCGGTAAGATTTTACCGACATGATCCTGTCAAGGGGACGGCGGCTCACTCACCAAATTAGCATGAGGAAATACTGTGGATGGACGAAATCCATGTCGCACCTCTTTGAAGCCATGGGAAACCATTGTTTGTTGGAATTTACAGGGTTTCTTAGGTGGTGCAGAATTTTGTCCATCAGCAGTAGCGGGTCTCCTCCAAAGATATGTTTTTTTGTTCCAGACCCTTTGATGGACCACCCACTGTTGCGGTGATTTTCACCAACCACTATATATATATAATATATATATATATATTGTGGGTGATTCCCTATTGAAACTCACATTGGGATGGACAATGTGCAATCAGCCATTGACTTGGGTGCCTTTCCAGTGTACCAAGGTTGAAGTGTAGGTTGGCAGAATATGTTGGCATCAGAAGGACTGTGCTGAAGGGGGTGTTCCTTGATCGAGTTCTTGGTTTGCTTGTTCGTTTGTCGAGCACGGCTTTTCCCCACATCCACACATGGACGACTCTCTCTGCCAGGTGAGGAGGACGAGAGCGACGCTTGGACCCGCACCCGTCCAGATTGAATCCAGTTGGGCAAGTTTCTTCATGCATCTTCATGCTAAGTTTCATAAGCCGTCCCTAGAATAGTAGGAAGCTAAGCAGTTGATCTGTTTGCTGGCCACGTGTTTGCCACGGTTGGTCTATGTTCAGTCGTCCAAAGCATTGAACCCCATCTCTCCAGGCTCCTTTAGCGTGAGTTTGCAATAGCGCATACCCCAGCAGGCCTCCAGAAGGTTTGTTAAATGGGGTGTTTCTCACATGGGAGTATGTGGGTGTGTTTTGATTATGACATCCCCACCCCCTTAAAAATGGAATTGGGGAGGGGGGTGACCCGGTGAATTCTGGAGATCTCCATTTGTGGTTCCATTTTTCCGTTTGTGGGGAAGGCCAGATAAATGGAATTGGGGACCCCCCAGCCCCCTCCTCCTGAAGGTAGGGGGGATATTATGACTCATTTCGGCAAGTGAGCAGTGCTCAGGAGGAGGAAGAGCTTCAGGATTGGCCCCTTGGCAGTGAGTTCTTTGTGTCGCTAGTCCGCCAGACGGCTCCGTCAAGGTGTTGGAGCTTGGAACGGGGTCCCAGGTGGAATTGTTTGAGTCGGGGCCCTTGGTTCCTCGTGAAACTTTGAGAGCACCTTGTCCTTCAACTTGTGTATTTGGGCGTCAAAATGGGTATCCCCCAAAATCAACGTTAACAACAGGAAAAGCAACTAAAACGGGCAGCAGCTCGAAGCTCCATGGCTACTGGGTTGGCTTTTGGGACTTTAAACTTGTTGGTTGAAACAATTCGCTTTTCGCAGAGAGGTCCCTCCAGCCAAGAAATAGGGAGGGGGTTCTTGTGGGGACACCACCCTACAGTATTAGACCGGGAGGTTTTTTTTTTTTTTTTTTTGTGAAGTCTGGTTTCAACCTTTGAGGCATGCCATTGTGCCCGTCTTTGGGCCTTCGGTGGTTCGGGTTGGTGCCACCCTTGGTGGTGCATGCCCGTCATCCTATACCGTTTTGTGTTCTTCTTCTGTTTTCTCCTTTTTTTGAGTCTTAGTTTTCTCATGTTTGTTTTTTCCTCATGTAGCTGGTATGCAAGGGGGGCACGCTTTTACCAGCGGTTGGGGGTGCGAGTTTTCAAACTCTGTCTAAAGTTTCTCGCTGGTGCTGAGCAGCAGGGAATGACCGAGAGCTGTTGACATGAGCCTAGGGATTCCCTCAAAGGAAGCCACAACGGATCGATTGCTTATGGAGGTGCCAACAGAAAGCCGAGGTATTGCAGCGAGTGCTCCTTCAAGAACACAGGGCTGCTGCCGTACTGCGAGCTTTGTGAGGCGTTCGTTTCGAAAGCGAAAGCGATGTTCGGAGAGACAAACCTCCGGCCCCACGTGTCCGTTGGGGCACTCAGGCCCTAGGTCGTCCAGCAATTGGTGCCCTTTCTCCAACTTTTTGGGTTGGGAGATTCGGTTCCCCTAAAGAAAAAAGTTGGCACCCTTATTCTAGGCACCCTTATTCTAACCTCTCAGAAATCAAAGAAATGATCAATACAGAAGGAATCACCTCTTGAAAACCCTTCACGGCAAAGGAGCCTTGATTGATGGTCAACTGGCTACTGGAGGACCTAGCCTGGGTCCGGACCTGGGCCACTGCTTGGACCCTTTGTGGTCTAACCGCTTCCAGGAGGCAAGGATGCGAAGAGACTAAAGCCAGGCTAACCAGCCAGACGTCCAACAGTACATTTCCGACAAAATATCGTGGGAGCGCCTAGGCTTTCAACAAAAGCCAGGCGACTCACTAGAAATCTTAACAAAAACCAGGCGACCCATCGCCCATTTACTCTTTGCAAGCAGCGATTTGGGTTCAAATCCCCAAGATCACTCATCCAAAGCACAAATTTGAGTGGCACGCTGAGCATAACTTCCATGGATTTTGCGCCATGGATTGGCGCCATGGATTTGGGCCTTCGTTTGTCCAGGCTAGGGCCCCTAGGCCTCCCCTCTTTGTTTGGCTTGGGGGAGAGAACTTGTGGCCGGGTTTTGAGCCCGTTTGGATCGCCCGCAGACGGCGCGCTCCAGCGCGGCGAAGGAGATTTGCGCGCCGTGAGGGGTGAAACTCCACCGGAGGTTCTCAACTTCGATGGGCTGAAAATACGGTGGATGCACGAAATCCTGCACCACCCTAAGAACCCTGGACTTATTCATTTTACTGGGGGTCTGCAATTTGCTACCATACCAAGAGTAGAGATGATTCCGCTGTAAATGCCAACCAGCAATGGTTTCCCATGGTTTCCAAGTGGTGCGAAATGGGTTTCGTCCATCCACAGTAATGTTCTAATTTTTTGGGGATTTGAACCCCTGGCCATTGTAGAGGGTAGCTAGCAAACCGCCGCCCAACTACCAACCACCAATCCAAATCAACAGTCACTTCCATTTGCTGAAAAGGTGTTTTTGTTTTTTTCTCTTTTCCCCTGTTGGTGTCAAAGGGGGACTTATCACTACTGGACATCTTTTTCCATGGTGCTTAAGCAAATGGAGGTTTCTCACGGCGGATGGCCATTTTTTCTCAAACAACTTCCTGAGGAGGGGAAATGGGAAACGTTAGCTCCAAACCAGCAGTTGAGCCGCAATGAACTCCCGGGTTACATGGTTGTCGTTGGGAAACATTGTACATTTTGGCTTATTGTGGTTTAGTGGTTGAAATCCGAACTTAACTGCTAAGATTTAATATGTTGCTCCCCTTCCAACAACCAAGGTTATTTGGGGGGTAGCAAGGGACAATCCCAGCGCAGCTGCCTTCTTATTTCTTTACATGGTGCTGGGTAGGCTGGTTCAGTGCCAGGCTGTGATTATGACTCAGTGGGAGTAGAAGCTGGTGTAGTGTTATCCAGGGGGCCACGCGTGAAGACCCTTGGGGTTCAGTCAGTTAAATGGACTTGAGTCGCTTTTTGGGTTTGGACAATTTTAGCGGGAAATAACAGTTTGGTTATTTATGTATGTTGGCCAATCCACTCAGGAAGTGAGAAGTGCTTACCCATTCGTCTTGAGAAGTCACTCCTGAGTTCCGCTTTGGACTCTGTATGTACTTTTTTTTTGGTTCTTGGACAAAGCATTTTAGAGGCAAGCAACCAGTTTGGACTTGTTTGGCCAACCAGCTCCCGAAGTGATTGTTGGGAAGAACGATTTGGAGGGAACCCTTCAAGGGGTCAAATCCACAAACCACAAGCTAGCGGCAGCCTTGCGAACCTGCAGCCTTGGTTGTTTTGCTCGTCTTTAACTCACTTGCCCAAAGCGAATCGACCTTGTGACCTTTTGGTTTTCCAATTTTGGTCCATTTTTAGTGAAGGTCCCAAAAGGTTAACCTTTTATTTCCAGGTCTTTTGGGCAAGTGCCACTTCGGTCCAAGCCTGGGGGGCGAGGCCCGTTGCCATGGTCCCAAGTCCATGGGGTGCTCTGCGGTTGCGATATTCTTGTGCATGAATATCAGGGCACTTGGCACGAGGGTTGTGGCTGTGCCATGGCAGTCACGGGAGCCCCTTCTTCTTTAGAAGTGGCGAAGAAACATGGCCTACGGCAAAACATGAGCCCAACCGATGCAGGAATGGTTCAGCACTGCCGTGGCATCAACCCTTCCAATTTGAAATTCAAGAAACGTAGCTTCAGACGAGCCAGGCTTAGAGCCAGCACACATGGTGGCACTTGGTACAAGGGTAAGTGGTTGACTGCTGAGGCACTCCAGACACAGTACCACCCCAATGGAGCCCGTAAGTTGCACCTTGGAAGAGATCCCTCGCTCAGCATGCCAAGCTGGGACCAGACACGCCTTAGAGTTCTTTCGTGGAACGCTGGCGGCTTGCACAGCGCCTTGTATGATGAACTCATGCTGTGGCTGAGACATACTGAGTATGATGTTGTTTGTATCCAGGAGACTCGTTGGAGATTCTCCTCGGAATGGACATCAGGCTCTTGGCATTGCGTGCACAGTGGAAACCCTTCCAACAGCAGCGCTGGCGTTCTTGTCATGATTTCTCATAAGCTAACACGCGCCTCGAACATCCGGTTTGCAGAGTTAATTTGCGGCAGAGTGCTGCATGTGCGCATTCCGCTTGAGAGCTGCCACTTGGATGTGATCAATGTGTACCAGTATGCCTGGAACCCCAGTCGGGCTATCCCACAGCAAGAAATCGCCAGACAGCAGGTGTTGGACTCGTTGTCTAAGTGCATTGACTCTGTTCCGGTCAGAAATCTGCTTTGTGTTGCAGGGGATTTCAACGTGCAGCTTCTACCCGCTTCACGGCACGTCGGTCCTTGTGCCAGACATAGAGTTGAGCATGAAGGGATGCAGGGAAGGCCAACTGACCATGCCTCTCTTGCTTTGCTGTTGCAAAACCATGACTTGTGTGCATTGAACACGTGGACACGCAAGGCAGCTTGCACTTTCCACGGCCCCTCTGGAGCCGCTTCCCAGATTGACTTTGTCCTTGTGAGATGCAGGCATGCAGATGCCACTGCCAAACATGTGACACTACTTGAGCAATGGGAAGTTGGTTCCTGGAGGGACGGAGGGAAACATGTGCCCTTGCACGCTAGCGTTGCTCCCGGATTTGCGCCATGGAGAAGAAACCGCGGAGTTTGTGCTAAAGCTACCGCAAGTCTGTTCAATGTTACGGCTATGCAACAATCTATTGCAGCACGGGACGAGCTTTGCCTAAAGCTCCTTGACCAGGTTCGTGACGGGCTCGCTGCGCGTGTCCCACAGACGCCAGCCGAGATCAACCAAACACTTTTGCAAGCGTGTCAGAGAGTTTTCCCTTCTCATAAAATGGTTAAGACCCCTTGCCCTTGGGAAACTGTGCAGGTTGGCAGCATTGTTAAGCAGATGTGGCATCACTACCAACAAACCAAGAAACTTGTCTTTGGAGACTTGCGTTCGCTGTTTCAATTCTGGAGACACACCATTCGTCACAAAAAGCTCCAGAGGGCTGTGAAAATTGCCAGCAAACACGCTCGGAAGCAGCGGGTGGAGTCCATCATGTCAGATGCCGCACGTGCAGCAGCGAGACATGACATGCGAACGCTGTACAGGTTTGTGCAGAAACTTGCTCCCAAGACTCAGCCCCAACGTTTTCGGTTAAGGGGGAAACATGGGTGTATCCCCAACGAAGAAGAGGAAACCCTGATTCTGAAGGAGCACTTCCACGCTGTCTTCTGTTCAGAAACCGGTCACATCCCTTGTATCACAGCCCATGTTGCACCATTCCTGACTACGTCCCAGTTGCAAGAGGCTCTGCAGGCCATCCCTGCATACAAAGCAGTCCCTCCAGGGTATGTGCCTGCGGCAGCTTGGAAGTTGTGTTCAGAGCAGCTGGCTTTGATTCTGAGCCCACTTGTGCGCGCATGGTGGCATGAGGGTGTGCCTCAGGTCCCTGAAGATTGGCAAGCAGGGTGGTTGTGTTTGCTTCCAAAACCTAAGAAATCAGGCAGTCGGCCTGGGGACTATCGGCCTATTGGGTTGCAGGACCCCGTGGGCAAAGCGCTGGTTGGCCTCATTTCTCGCTTGGCCAGGAAGGCAGTGCTGCCACGACTGCTGGCCGATCCACAGTTTGCGTATCTCCCAAAGCGTGCCACAACAGCCGCGCTCAGGCGCGTCTTTAGGCATTGTGAGCAGATAAGGCAGCTGTGCAAAGGGCAAAGACAGACACTGCACGATCGAAGAAGGGGTCATTGCAGGCAGGATTGTGTTGGAGGCATTCAGCTTTGTGTTGACTTGTCACAAGCTTTTGACTCAGTGCCCAGAGACGTTCTGCTTGAGGGACTGCGGCTTGCGCAGGTGCCTGCGCACCTTACTTCGCTTCTCATGGCATGGCACCAAAGCACCAAGTACTACATCCAACGTGGAGAGAGGGCCATCGTTATTGAGGCCAACCAGGGTGTTCGGCAAGGCTGCGTAGCTGCCCCATTTCTGTGGACTGTGTTTACTCATTTCCTCTTTCACAAATTTCGGGAAAAGTTGAGTGACGAATGGGTGCAACACTGTATGACATTTTTCGCAGACGACATACACTGCGCATGGGAAGTCCACAGCAAGCAGGATGTGACACTTGCCGTCCGTGCCATTCAGGTTATTCTCGAAACCCTGTCCTCCGTTGGTATGAAAGTTAGCTTCGACAAGACTGTTGTCCTTGTTTGCTTGCGGGGCACAGGTGCGCAGAAAACGCTGCACAAGCACATTGCTAGCACTAAGGGTAAGCAGTTCCTGCCTGTGCTCATTCACGGGACTGACCAATTTATCCCCATTGTTAGCTCGCAGGTCTATTTGGGAGCAGTCATTTCTTACCGCAACTTTGAAGAGCAAACTGTCAAGCATCGTTTGCAGGTCAGCTACGCCAACTACAAACGCTTGTCGAAATGGCTGACAAACCGAAGGTTCCTCAACCTTGAACAACGACTTGCAATGTGGCGGACCTGTGTTTGGACTAGTGCAAGCTACGGACTGGTTGCTTGTGGCCTCACCCAAAACTGTGCTAATAAGCTTACCGGGGCTGTTATGAAACAGTTAAGGGCGATAGCCAATTGCCCGGCGCACCTTACACATGTGTCAAACAATGAGCTCCTGCAGCGGCTGGGGATGCTGCACCCACTTGAGATGTTGCGGACGCAAGCAAATTCAGAACTTAGCAAGCTTCTTGAATATGTGGTTGCAGAGAGTGATCTAGACGTCATGTGTGAGGATGCGCAGCGTACCCAGGCTGCGCATGTGTGCCACAATCTCAGCCTCCTGTGCAAACCCAAGGAAGCAGGCGCTGTGATTAGCCATGCGGTCCTGCAGTGCCCCAGCTGTCCCAGAAAGTTTGGAAGCCAACGTGCGCTCCGCATTCACCACACCAAGTGCCACGGGGAGCACCTTGAATCACCTGAGCAGTTTGACCGCGTTGCGCACTCAAAGCAAGGCATGCCCACCTGTGCAGGCTGCGGCAAACAACTTCGCAGCTGGCAAGGCCTTGAGGACCATGTGCAGAATGGCAGGTGTCCGTGGTCAGGGCTGAGCCCTGTGACGCAAAGTGAGCACGACAAACCTGCCATTGACAGGAATGCAGTCAGAGCAGCCGTCTTTGCTGGTGGCGCGGCTGTGCTGCTTCAGGACCAAGCGCTGTGCCAGCAAGCTACGCAGCGTTGTGTCATTTGTCACCAGTGGGCACCTGACCCTAGAGCTGTCATGGTGCATCTTCGAAAGACACACCGTTGTGATCTTGAACAGGCTGAAATCTTGATACAGCAGCTGAAGGCTCAAACGAAGCCTGCTCTCTCCCCCTGCCTGTACTGTTGCCAAGCGTGCGTCAGGCCCTCAGAGCACCGGTGCACAGTTATTGCGCAGCTCGCTGTGCTTGCCCACCTTGTTGCCTTTTCTGACCAGGATGGCCGACGAGTCTGCGCAAGTGGCAGAGGTGTTCAGACATCTGCTCCCACCAGCGGCCCTTCAAGACCAAGTGATGGCGCCAGCCACGGAAGCCGCCAAGCGTGCCCCGCTGACAGAGCCTGCCTCCGCCGACGAGCAACCACGCAAGAAGAGCAAAAGCCTGAGCAGGAAACAGGGCCGCCAGGCGTCCTTGCAGCAGTCCAACGCAAGGGGCTCGGGGGACCAGCTCGTCGCAGCTCTCGCCAAACTAGTGCTCCGCCACGAGGATGCGCTGGGCATTCAACGCCAGGACACAGCCTTCATGCTCTGGATGAGCACACAAGAGGGCAGCGTGCTGCCGATGATCTACAAAGTGGCGCAAGAGTGGAAAGGCAAAAAGCAGCACAACCCAGTCCTGCTGGACATGCCCTTGAGGACCGTGCTGCTCGTGTGCCTCTTCACAGAGCTGGGAGCAAGGCTCGGCAAGGTGGCAACAGCGGAAAACAGGGAGCCCTTGAAAGTTGCAGCTTGCTCCGCTGGCTGGCTCACAGAGAACAACCAGTGGGCATACCACAAGTGGGACCCAGCGCGCAAGGAGGAGGTTGCGATGCAGGAGGCGGAGCCGATGTCCATGGAGCAGGCCCAGTCCACTGTGGCGCTCGTCCAAAACTTGATTTCCAGGAAGGGCATGGTGTTGCGCTTTCATGCCACTCGCCCTTTGGCAGAGAAGATGCAATCGGACATTCTCCCATGGATGCTGGAAATCAGCTTGCGAGGCCCAGAGGCAGATCGGCTTCACCAAGCCATTCAGACATTGTGCGGGTGCAGCCTCATGCAGCTTGTCGGAGTGAAGATGCGCCCAGACAAAATGGGCAGGAGCGCTTTGGCAAAGGTCGTGGAAAGGGCGATGAACAACTGATTCTCGGCCTGAGGCTCAGCAACCCAAGCAACCACTGCTACTTGAATTCAGCTGTCAAGAGCTTTGCGTGGGCAGCCAGCCGTGTCTGTGTCTCAGTCCATGACAGGTGGGGGAGCCTGCTCCCAGCATGGCTTCAGCTTCGGGGCGAGGGCCTCAAACACAAGTTTCAGCCACTGTCTCTCTTTGATCAGTCCGAGTGGGCAAGCTTTTTGAGCACGTGGCAACAGCCGCATGAACAGCATGATGTGGCTGAGTTTCTATCGCACCTTCTCCAAAAAAATACTCCGTGCATCACTGAGGGACGATGGGAAGCCAGAATCCAAGAGGGGGATGCAATAGTATGCTGGGATGCAGGCGAGGCAACTCAACCTTTGTTGCTTCCACTTGCGCAGCGTGCACCTGAAGACATGCCCTCTTTGCAGGCCGGGATGTGTGAGTGGCATCGGCAAATGGCCACCCATGCGTACAGTCAGACGCCGCGTGTGCTGTGCATACAGCTTGACCGCTTTGCAATGCAAGACGCGCTGAAAACCACATGCGCAGTAAACCTTCAGTCTTCTGTCAGAGTGCCCGCTTTTCAAGAAGGGAGCCTTGAGGTGCATTGGGTTGAATATCAACTTGTGGCCGGCATCACGCACTTCGGAGAAAGTATTGCCAGAGGTCATTATGTTGCTTTTCTGCTTGATGGACAACAATGTTTCGTGTCTGATGATGACAGGCCCTGCACTGTGCATGACCACATCACAGCCCTCCACCAAGCAAACGCTTATGTGCTTTGGCTTGCCAGGACAGATCGGCAATTTGACAGCGAACGAGTAGTCTGAAGACTTCGGCGCTTCTCTTTTCCTATTCCCAGTTTTGTTCATTTGGAAGGTGATGCAGCTGCCTGGCTTTGGGCCATTCGTGGCGCAGGCAGTTGGCAGTGCTGGGCTTATGCGTGGTCCACAGAGACCGCCGATCTGCGAAGCAGATTGCCAGCCGCGCTAAGCTTGACCGGACAGGCTGCGTTGAGAGAGAGAGAGAGGTCTTTTGGGCAAGTGAGTTAAGCAGTGGGGAACCCAAACAAAGAGGGATTTGAAGGGTGCGATTGACGCTGGCAACCGCCCTCCCAACTAACATGGGAGTGCCCGGATCCTCTGGGAAGACGACAGTTCCGTGTGTCCAAGGGAACAGTTGGAGTGGGGTTGTAGGGCATTGTAGGGTACCCTAAACACAATTATGGTAATTTACCAATGAAATAATAAGGCCATATGTTTCGCTGCTTTCCCAGCATTAATCACATCCACTCAGATGAACCACCTGGGCATGGTTTCCCAATGTTTCAAACCACCCTTGTTGGCGAGGGGGGGGGGGGTCCTCTCGTTCTTTGGCCAAATCTAAACCTTCGAAATGGATGCAGTCTTGTTGGTCATCTTTGGTGAACCTTCAGAAGGTTGGCGTCCCTTTGTCCCGCTTCAAATCGAGGCAAGGGCACCCTCGGAAAAAGACGCGCGAGAATGTTTGGACGACGTCAACGGAAACGAGCTCATGCCTGAAGGCCCCTTGGTCGGGGGTTTCAAATAGATCCTTGTTTGCGACTGTTTCAAAAACGCCTGTAAACACGCACCCCGCAAAGGTTCCTCTTAGAGGACACTCCTTTTTTGGGATGGAAGCCTTTGTCTTGGGTCTCCCCCCTCTGTATGGAGCGGAGTCAGAAGAAGGATTGTTTGTGGACTAGGTTTTCCTAGGTCTCCCAGTAGTGCCCTGTTGCCCTTTTTTGGGGGAGGGTTCCCCTACTAAAATAGACTAAAGAAAAAAGGCACCCTTGTTCTAACCTCTCTACTGGAGGACCTAGTAGAGTACCCCAGACGTGAGCCAGGTGCATTTAAGAAGCTAAGGAAAAACCGCCCGTAGGAGGCAGACGAAGAGCGGCCCTGTCCCCTCTGCTCATTCCACAACCCCAGCGCGCGGACGGCTTGTGCGAGCCGTGGCAACCAGTTTCTTTGTTTGTGTTGTCGCGTTTCTTGTTTTTGTTCTTCTCTTTTTCCGGTGGGGGGAGGTAGTCTGAAAGTTGGAATTCGCAGACTTGAAACTTTTTGTTGGCAGGTGTCGCCATCGGTTTGGCCTAGGGGCAAGAAAAAGAGCCTTTTCTGGCCATTGGCGGGTTTGGTGTTTGACCCCCCCTTTTCTGGACTTCGTTCTTGTTGGGAAGATCTAGTTGTTAGGAAACAGGCCGCTCAGACTTTGTTCACTTCACTCTGGAAGTCAGTTTTAGTATTGCAAAGCTGTTTTTCCTGCGCAAGCCACAGCACTACTCAACATGGTAGAACCTTTTGCGAAGATAAGGGGAACTAGACTCTGCGGGACCACTATTTCGAGAAGCCCGCTACTACTTCTTCCATTTGCTTAAGAATATGTTGTATGTTCCTTTTTGCTTTAAAGGGAATCTATCACTAGTGGACGGCAAACAAGAAACTGGAGGCCCCCCAATCCCGGCGAATGGCTTTTCCTCAGGGAAATCAAGATGAACCCCAGCGCGGCGTTTTGTAGAGGGTATCCCTTTTGTGATTTAAAGGGATACCGGAAATCCGTAGTTGGTCTGGATTGGTGGCTTGGTGGTTTGGTTTCTTGTCTTTTGCGGGTTTAAAGGGAAACTGAAAGGAAGCAATACCCGGGCCCGCCCCTACTGTGGATGGACAAAATCCTGCACCACCTAAGAAACCCTGGAAAGATGATTCCCCTGTAAATCCTAGGTACGATGATTTCCCGTGGCTTCAAAGTGGTGCGAAATGGATTCCTTCCATCCACAGTATCCCTTCACCAGACTCCAGACGCCAGACGCCAGCCCCGCTCGCTTAGGATGTGCCAGGCACCTTTGACGCCGGCCAGCGCGCCGGCCAGTGCCTTGCCCGGGTGAAAGGAAGCAAACACCGGTCCTAGTCGGAGACCTGTGGTGGGTGCCCCTTTTTTCAATTTGGTGCATTTTGCAAAGGGATGTTAGGACTTTAACTTTTTGCCAACTAATGGGTTTTCCGAAGTAAACCACTAAAAGTTAGTCACTTTTAGCAGGGGAGCAGAAATCAACCAGTTTTTTTTTTGGTTCAACTTCTAGGTCCCCCAGCTAGGTGCCCTGTTACCAACTTTTTGGGGGGGAGGGGTTCCCCTGCTTAGCGTCTTTACCATATGCTTTCTCACTTCCTGAGTTCATGAACTGTAGGAGGACCATTTTTGTGGCAAACAACAAGTTTGGACTGTTTTTGGGCCATCCACTCAGGAAGTAAGGCAAGGAAAGCTAGATCAGTTGGTTTTAAAGGGATCACTACTGGTCATTTTTCTCACTGTTTCCAGGGGTGGATAGGCAAATGGAAGGAAACAAACAGGAAGTGAGTTGTACTCCTAGGTTTTGACGAAGTCTCACAGCCGACCCGGGCCTCACCCTTCATACCTTCCATTTGGTTAAGAGTATTTTTTATTTTCCACTGTTGGGTTTAAAGGGAATCGAATTCACTACTAGACATATGTTGTTGGAGGGGACTTAAGAAGGGTGTTTTTCTTTCTTTTTCTTCTTGTTATGATTCTTCCTGTCTTCTTTTTTTAAAAATTGTTTGTGGGTTTTTAATGGACGGTATCCTCCATTTTTTCTCCAGAAAAACCAAAACACGGCCAATGGAGGGCCGATCCGAGGCGCCTCGGGCCCCTCGGGCGCCGGGTCCCGGGAGCCGCCGGAGCCCTCCGGCTCGCCGGAGGCCTGGGGCTTTGGTGGGGCCTAGGTCCCCCCAGCAGCTAGGTGCCCTCTTTTGGACCCCTTTTTTTTGGGTTGGGAGGGGAACCCCCTACTAAAAAAGGCAAAAGAAAAAAAAAAACAGAAGAAAGTGGGTACCAACTGATTCTAAGCTCTCAAATCTGGAGGACCTGGCCTTGAGTTCAACTGGACTCTATCTTCCATTTGCTGCACTCTTTTTTTTAAAGATCTTTTTGGTTTTGAAGGGACCCTAGCACTTCTGGACATATTGGTTCCAGGGGGCTTGAGCAAATGGAAGCTATACTTTTTGGGTTTGGACCATGTTTTGGTAAATAACAAGTCCTCACAATGTCTGGCCAACCCACTCAGGAAGTGATGCTAAATGGGTGTGTGGGTAGGAATTCGATGGGAGTGGTGGGACGCCAAACGTGGGCCGATGACAGGAAGTTGCTCCGGCCCTGGAAGCTGTGGAGGCTTTGGAGGAGGAGGACGGAAAGCCGCGGGTCTGTCGTGCAAAAAGGTGAGGATGCCTCCATTTCTTTATTGCTATTGGGTTGGATCTTTGGACTTGAACTTTTTGGGACATCAAGGGGGTTTCCACTCGGCGCACAAGAGTGAAACTTTTTGCAGAGCGTCGACAGCAACCAAGACTTGCAAGTAACTCAGCATTCAAAGCCATTGTAAAATACCCCCAGCACCCCAGCCACTGGTTTTTGGACAGTACCTGGGATTGTGTGCGTGGGAAAGGGCAGCCTTACCCGACTGGTTGCACTTCCTCGCGTCCCAAGTTTCTCGACTGAGCTGTGTCGAAGGATCAGTTTGGCGGCAAGCAATCAGGTTTGCGTTTTTTGGGCAATCCACTCAGGAAGTGGAAATTCATGTGCATGCTACTTGTCTGTTCCCACTGTAAGTGAACAAGAACTCACTTCTGAGTGGACTGCCAGGGAAAAGTCCAAACTGTTTGCCGCTGAAATGATCCTGCGAAAAATAGGAAGCCTAGGTAGTGTCGAAAACTATCAAGCATGTTAGTTTGCAATGCAGGCTGACTCGCTCAGCCAAAGCAGCTAAAGTATGCCATCCAAGACGCGACTAGCACTATAGCTACCGATTCTTGTACGGCTCGAGGTGGTCCTTAGCAATTGGGTTTGTTTCAAAAGGTGGTTGGAAACGGAATCACCCCGCCAAGAGAAAGAAAAGACGCAACAAAGACATGACTGGTTCTTGTCCAGTTGCCCTTTAGCCCGACCCCAAACAGGCCAACTGGGCACTCTCCCAAAAGCCGACCAACAAACATGCCATGGATGCCGAGGCCTGTCATATTGCAACTATAGGGGAACAAGGAAACTCCCTAAATAATGGTTCCAACACTGTTGTTGGCATGTTTCAGGTTTGTTGGTTTTTCGGCCCTCTTCATTTTTAGTGGGCTGCAAGAAAGCGGCTTTAAGATACTTTGGGTTGGACAGGTGTTGTGGGTGGCAAGTTGGTCTTGCGAAATGCGACTCAGGGCATCCGTGCCATGACCTACAGCCTTTTGAGGCCTTAGCTTGGCTAGGTCCCCAAGCTAGGTGCCGAATCTTGCAAACTTTTTGGTTGGGAGGGGAACCCCCCAACCAAAATAGGCAAACAAATAGCAAAAAAAGCGGGTACCAACTTAATTCCAACCTCTCAAATCTGGAGGACCTGGGGCCTTAGCTTGTGCACTCCCCCCAACGAATTTTCTCACCGCCAGGAGCGGCGGTTGCTGACCTCCATGGGCTGGAACCCGGACGACGACGAGGGCGGCCTCGAGGATCGAGTCTTTTGGGATTCCTGAGGGGGCGGGCGGGGGGGGGAAGGGGAGGGAGGGGAGGGAGGGGGGGGGAGGGGATTGCCTCACCAGGCGTGTAATTCCTCCATCCCCCCCTGAGTTCCGCAGTTGCTTTCGTGGAAGGAACATTGTAGTCACATGCAAGCAGTTCGGACTTGGTTTCGCCCACCCCCGCAGGAAGTGAGTTGGCTTCTTTTTTGTGTGAGAGCGTTTTTGTCCAGAGTTGCGGAAACCGGAGATGTTGCCAGGGAACCTGGCCTACGGCCCTTCAAGAGGAAATGGGTCTTCCAAGAGGTTGTTTCTCAGGTTCCATGCTAGGTCCCCCAGTGGTGCCCTTTTACCCTTTTTTGGGGGAGGGGCTCCCTACTAAAATAGACAAAAAAGGAAAAAGATGGTACCCAGTCAGGTAGGGCGCATAGCTCCTTTGTATCCTTCGGGTGTTAGTTCCCTTGCGCAGGAGTGGGAGATTGATGCTGCCCAGGAGAGTCTTGGCACTCGCGACGAGCTGGGCTCCGGAAAAATGGTATCCACATATTTGCTTTTAAGGACGTCCATTTGCTGAACAGAATATTCTTTTAAAACAAGGAACCAGTGGTTATTGTTGCAGCACAAGCGTGCTGGCAAAACCGGGGCCTTTGGTGCACTGGTGGTTTCCAAGGCGGGGTTCTCCATTGGAGGGTGTGGGGTGTGTGCATTGGAGGGGTCATGACTGAGGAGGGGTCATGAGCCTCAGTCATGACCCTTTGGGACGTTGGGGATTTTCCCATTTTGGTGTTGACAGGATCTCATCGTTGTTGGACTTATCTTCTCGTTTTTTCCCGGGTGCGAAAAAGCAAATGGACGTTTGGCAAATATGGCCACTGGTGAACATGCTAAGGAGCCTCATCGGCAGGATCCAAGCAGAAGGCGACCGCGAAGGCAGGACACCGGACACATTTTTGGCCCATGAAAGCTGAGTGTTGGCAGTGATGTTTCAGTTTTTGGGAGCCCAAGAGTTCGCAAGCCCTTCCGTTCCCTTCCGTTTGTGGCGTCTCCCTTTGAGAGCCCAAAGGAAGCCAAATGGAACAGGACCCATTTGGGGGCGTCCGAATCCTGAACGACACCTCCCCATTTGCCGAGCAATCTGTCACTCGGCACCCGTTCCTTTCATTTGCAGAAGGCTTCGAGGTTCCAAGCCGATCTTTCTCGTTGGTTTCAAGGGGATCTACTTGAGTTTGTCCCAGCAAACTTAAGCGAATTGTTTGTCTAGGGTGGGAGCTTGGGACGCACATGGACGCGCTCATCGAATTTCAACCACATCCAGGGGACTCACTGGCCGAAAAGAAGCTTGCTGTAGTTCCGGGCTGAAAATAAGTTGCCAACACCACAAGCCGGGTATCCAGCAGGAGCAATCAGCAAACAACCCGGCAAACACGCCTAGACCCTCCCTTGAAGTGAAGCAGGCAAAGAGAGTCAATTGTCTAGTAGAACACGGTTGAACATAAATAAGGAAACCTCCCAAGCAACAGGTTTGGTTCGCCATAGAACCCCACACAAAAACACGCATACCCGGTTCATGAGACAATGGGGTCCTTACCCAAAAATGGGTCATGACCCCAATTTTTTTCAGGGTCTCGGAGACTCCAGGTACCTACAAGTGACCGAACCCCCCCCCCCTCCAAAAGGCTTGGTTCGCCACAGGCACGAACAAAGCGACACCAAGCGCATACAAAAACTACAACTGACCTCAGCCAAGCACAAAATCTGCCACGCTCAAATCAAGCAAGAGCCGATGTTGTTAACTAGGTCCCCCATTGTGCCCTTTTACCCCTTTGTTTGGGGAGGGTTCCCCTACTAAAACAGACAAAAAATGGAACAAGTTGGTATAGCCTGGGGGTCTCGATGGTTTTGGGGCCCCTGAAAAGCCGGGGTTCTCCGGTCCGGCTTCGGTGTGCATTGGAGTGGAGGCTACAGGTGCGCGACCCAAACTCCGAAAGACCTGGCCGGCTGGAGGCCTGCGAGAACGAGCCACCAGAGAATTTGAGTCCTGGAAGGCTCGGTGAGCCCGGGGCCAAAGAGGAGTTGACGGTGGGCAGAATGCGGGCTCTTTTTTGTTTGGTTTGTCTGTGTCTCTGTGTGTGTTGGGTGAGAAAATGTTGTTGTTGTTTTGTTGTTTTGTTTTTTTTTTGTGTTGTTTTCGTTCTTGTGTGTGTGTGTGTTTAGTCACGTAAAGTTGTGCTTTTTGGTTTCTCTTGTGCGTGTTTCGGCACCCTCCACGTGCCCTCCCTCCCAGGTTGCCCTGGCCCTTTGTCAGGTGGGGCAATGTGGGAGGAAGGGTGGGTCTAAGTTGGTGGCTTGGGTTGGCGGATTGGATTTGGAACGATTTGGATTTGATTCCCTGGTTCTTGTAGAAAACATGCTCCAAACACCTCGTCTTTCTGTGGCGAGCTCAGCTGCAAAGTGTTTTTTAGCGGGGAGGGGGGGTCGGAAAAAGCACATGCCAGCAGGGCCTAGCCCGTTTTGCACAGCTGGTGGGAAACTACTCCTTACCTGAAAGATTCTAAGAGTTGATTTTAGGGAAAATCCACCAGAAACACCCCCCCCAACCAAAAGAGATTCCAGGAGCGGATCCCGGGGATCCCCAACAAATTTCCCGTGAAGCGGGGAGACAGCCACTGAAGCACTTGCTGGCAAAGGTCCGCGAGTGTGCAGCATCCCGCTGCATTCCGCTGCCCTTCTGGAGAATGAGTTGCACAACTAGGTCCCCCGGCTAGGTGCCCTTTTTTGTGAGATTTTTTTGGGGAGGGAATGGACTACAGAAAAAAAGGGTACCCTTATTCTAACCTCTCTGCTGGAGGACCTAGACAAGGGTCTTGCCCCATGGGAGCCCCTGTCAAAGTGGAAAGTCTCTGACGATCTTACCTGAGAGTAAAACGAGCTCATCTATGGTTTGCCCCTCACAGCTGTGCGAGCTCGAGCGGAGTGCAGCCATTCTTGTTGGCACAGGCGAAAGCAAACATCGCCGGGGGCGCCTGTAGGGCCATGAATTTAGGTTGGCCAAACCACCAGCACATGGGGCGGAAGGGCCATCCCGTGGCGACTCGAGACCCCAGTCGCGGCAAAGGCGGTTGTGGGAAACGAGTGTCAGAGGGCGACTTGTGATATTTTTTTGCGGGGAATCCCAGACGTGGGACCGGAATCACAAATTTCAGTGTCACGGGCCATGAATTTTCATTAGAGAATCTCTCAGCTTCTCGTTGCAATGCAAAACGGGCGCCAGCTCCAAAGTCGTTCCCCACAATGAGTTGCACGAGCCGTTTCCTCGCGGGCAGCGCTTGTGGCAAAACCGGGCCTTGGTGCGATGGTTTGCGACCTTTTGGACACGAAGAACGCGGTTCTTTGTATTTTCCTTGCCCGAAGGGTCTCGATTGTTGGGCCTTCAAAACTGGTTGTTCTCAAGGACCCTTGGGGGGTCGGGGTTCTGCATTGGAGGGCCCGGAGGTGTGCATTGGAGGGTTCATGACCCTTGGGGTGGGTTTGGCCCGCAAGCCGATTGTAGGGTTTGATTCCCCAACCATGGTTCTTTAAAAATTGCAGCCGGTTTGTAGAAAGGAGGATCTTTGGAAAGAATGGGGAAGGTAGCTGCAGAGTTGTTCAGCGGATTCCGCCATAGCATAAATTCTGGTTTGGTTCCCATGAAATCAGCCAGCCAAAAGGAGCCCTTCTGTTCTACTGGACTGGTACTGGCCAGCTGGAAAGTCCAGAGTGGGGCAGGCTGCTGTTTTGTTTGAGGGGGGTCTTCAGGGTTGGGCAACTGTTGACGTGACCGCTCTACTTCCTTCCGACCAAATTTGGGCACATGAAGACTTCTGTCATGGATTTCTTAGGGTTTGTGAATTCTTGCAACCCCAGATGCAAATTGCTTTCTGGTGTGGCTGGGTGCAACTTGCAGAGCAGTAGAACATGCCGCTAAGTCTTGGTTGATTCCCCATTCTTTTCAACCATCGTTCTTTTCAATCACAAGCTGTTTTCACTGCGTTGGGTTTTGTAGAAAGAAGGATGCCTAAAAAGAATGGGGAAGCTACCCCCAGACTACTCCTGATTTGACCTTTGCAGCGTCGACTCTTTCGGAGGGCCGCTTGCCAGTGCCGCCGAGCTGCCGCAAGGCCAGACCCGCGACAGAATGAGAGCAGCGCCGCGCGCGGAAAAAAAGAAGAAGGAACAAGTCGAAGCCTTCTCTGCCGGCAGGTGGCGCGTGCGGCCCGTTTTTTTCCCCTTCGTCTTTCTTTTTTTTCTTCTTTTAGTTTTTTAGTAAAACCAGGCTCCCTATAGGGGTCACGGACCCTCCAATGCACACCTCCGGACCCTCCGGACCGGACCCTCCGGACCGGAGAACCCCGAGCCATTGTCAGGGGCCCTTAAAAAATGGCTTTCTCGCCCAAGAAGCTGCTTCGCTTTTCGGGGGTCTCCAAGCAAACCAAAGCAGCGGCCAAACGGCAAAGGAACCGCTTCTTTGGGCCCAAATTTTTTGGATCCGTGAGAAATTTTGGGCGGGTCATGGTGAAGTGCAGGGTCTCGTTTTTTTGGGTCTCGGAAAGCATAGGTTGGCTCGAATCATGTTTTCGGGTTGGCTTTCTTGCGACCTCGTCACGGGCGGTTTGGTTTGTAACCCATGCGGAATGACAAGCCTCCCGATTCTTGGAAGCAGTGACAGCGTCGATAGTGCCGGAGAGCAAGGCCACCCCCCTAGGAGCATGGGTTCTAATTACGAGATCTCTCTCATTTGTTGGGAGTGGGATTTGCTCTATCCGCGAGGTCAACAAGTTCGCTCCCGAACCATGGTGAGGCTAAATGGTTCCGTGCAATGTCAACCTATCAAATCAACTGAAGGCTGTACCCGGGTGCACCTACCCCTTCAGTGACGAATCCCCACTAAACCAGGCACACCCTATCCGTAAACTGGGGGGTTTATTTTTTCTCCGGAGTGTCCATTCTGGCACTCCAGCTTGGTCTGGAGGATTGAAACGGTCCCGAAATGCTGCATCGGCCGCCCGGGTCAGGTGGCCCGGCCCCTTTTCACGGAGCGAGCCGTCGGGAGCCTGGTGGATGGCAGGGCTAGCGCGTCGGGACTCCTAAGGGCCATACTGTGTGTGTGGCTCAAAAGTAAAGAGCTAGGCTTGCGCGGTTTTAGTCTTTATGGCCATTTACCAGGGTTCCACTTTGGGCACCCATTTTTGACCCTGGCTTCTGAGGATTCCCCTGTAAATACCAACAAACAATGGTCTCCTGATTTGCACAAGGGGGGGCAAGACCATGCCTCTGGCGGCTTTGGGGGGAAGGAAGCAGCAAAGTTGCCATTCGGAGCGCCACCCGGGTTGCTTTTGATGACTCTGCGGTTTAGAGTTGTTTTTTTTGTTTTTTTTTTTTTCTGGCAGAAGGTCCCTAGCATCGTAGAGGCTCTACAGAATGGGAGGGATGCAAGAAATCTCAAAGTCCAATCCCCCCCAGAAAGCTTATTTACAAGTTCTGCTGCAACCCAGCCCTTCTACGGAGGGCGCTTTACTCGCACGTGGTGTTCGTGTAGGCCGCCTGCATTGATGAAGGGGTTTGTACTTGCCCAGCAGCACCTTCGTTGTTGCTTCTTTGTCCCATTGCAACTCAGGTTCCTCGCAATTCATTTTTGGGGTGGTTTGGGGATTTTGAACCCCTTGTTGAGGGTAAACGGGAAACCACCCCGAACCACCAAAACCACCAATGAGAGGGAAGCCGATCAGAGGGGACTCCTTCACTTCGGTGGGAACCCATCTATTTGCCAGTTGCCGAGTCGTGGGGAACCAGTGGCTGAGTGATTCTCAAAATTGGGTTCGGACCTGCTTTTGGTGGGCACCGCACGGCAGACTAAAAGGACACCAGCCTAGGGTTCCCAATGGTGCCCTGGTTAACCCCTTTTTTTGGTTGGGAGGGGAACCCCCTACTAAAATAGACGAAAAAGAAAAAAGTGGGTACCAACTTAATTCTAACCTCTCAAATCTGGAGGACCTAGCAGCTGTTCTCTGGGGACCAATTTGACACACCTGGGACCATTTTTTGAGAACCTCCTCGGAGCGCGGAATGGCGCGTAAGAATCAAAGAGCGCTGGCTCCTGCTCAGTTGCCTTTGCAATTAAATCTGTTGGCGCGCTGGGTGTGAATATGGGAGCCTTGCTTTACATTCAGTTTGCTGATTTGTGGCGCGCTCACCCATCCTTGTGTCAGGTTTCGGAAAGATTGGAAAAGTGACTAATGACGACTAATGTCTTCTTCGTGCTGGAGGTCAAAATCGAAGAATCACAATGAACGCCCACTTGCCGGAAGGACTGGACATCTGGAAATCTGAGGTTACCCTTTGGGACACAGGGAAGCTGTAAAAGAAGCTCGGCCTCATTTTGATTCCTCCTCAAAACCCCAACTCATTGATCCTCGACACCCATGTGTTGCACAAGGTTGGCAGCTCGTCGCGCAAAATGGGAAACAAGAATGGTCCTCAGTGAAACGGCCTGACTGAACTGGCGTAAAATGCTGGGCACTGTTTCCACGGACTTCCAGTTTCAACCGGCTCGGCTCTCTCTTGCGCGCCACCTGCAGCCGTTTCCCCCCGCTCGTTAGGGCGGCAGTTTCTGGCGGCGTCGGTCCGCCGGCGGGCGGGCGGTCCGCGCATGCGGCGGAAGGCCGCCCCGGCCTTCTCCGCGATGCGGGAGGCGCTGGTGAGCGATGAGGAGCACCACGCCAGCCGAAGCCTCGGGCGGGGCTTTGGGTTTCGGGTCGGGAAGCGGGTGAAGTGAGGGGCGCCGGCAAAGTATCCGCAGAACAACAGCAAGAGGAGCAGCAGCAGCAGCAGCAGCAGCAGCAGCAGCAGCAGCACCAGCAGCCGCAACCCCTTCATGGATTTCGGATACAACTAGTTTTCCAGAGGATGGGTGCCCATGCAGCTTGTTCAAAGGGGAAAGGGTTGGGTGCAAAAAGTTGCCCGAATAACTAGGACCACTCACCACCCAAACACCCCCTTTGAACTCGCCTTTTCACCAGTTTAACCCTCAATGTTCCCATGATTGTCCAAGGGGGCCGTCGCACCGGTGGAGGCATTTGCCTTCAGATGGCCCAAACAAGTACCTGTTCCGGGGCTCTAGTTTGCGCTTAAGAGCGCATGTCTCCAATATCTGGAGGGTGACTGTGGTTCCTCCAAGGCCAGCGCATTTGGTAACCTAACCGATTTCACTGGAAATATGGGTGTGGGTCAAAATTAACCCACTAGGGGACCGCAGGTTTTAGCCCATGTTTCCAAGGGCAAGCCATTTTGGGCTACCGGTTCTTTTGACCCACAGCCATACTGTGGATGGACCAAATCCTGCACCACCAAAGAAACCGTGGGAAACCATAACGTTTGCTGGTATTTACAGGTGAATCGAATCATTCCAGGGTTTCTTTAGGTGGTCACCACTTTGAACCACGCAAAACCAGTGTTTGTTGGTATTTACAAGTGAATCATCATTCCAGGGTTTCTGAACGGTGGTGCGAAATGGATTTCGCAACCATCCGCAGTATGTTCTCATTCTTTCCAGCGCTCTTCCGCACATTCGCAGAAGTCCCTTTGGCTTCCAGGCAGCTTCGCAGGAGGCCTCCGGAGATGGATCACGAGCAAGCACGCGGTCAGAGCTTCGCTGCGCGTTTCTCAAAACAAGTGTAAAAAACGCCTTAAGAACTTATTTTTTAACAAAAAAGGTAAAACAAGTCCGGGTTAAGAACGTTGCTTTAATAAAAAGAAGGTAAAACAGTCCGGGTACATGTTGTTTTTCGCCGGCTGCAATTACTGTAGTGGGTTTGGATTGGCGGGTTGGATTTGCGTTGAGCCTGCTGCCGTTGATTGAAGACGGATCGACATGTTGACCTTTTGGTGTCCCCTTTTTTGGAAATTGTGTTTGGCTCGTTTGTTAGTCATAGCCCCAGGTGATCGTTTTGTCTGAGTCCTGGCCAGTGAGGCGCGCGCCTGTTTTTTTCAGCGCCTCGGCCACGTGAAACCCTTTTGCTTGAATTTGGATTTTAACACCTTTGAACTTGACAATTTCCCCACCCCACCTCCGCAAACCTCACATCTGCGAACCACGCGCCGGGGGGGGGGGGGGGCGGGGGAAGCTGAAGCGAGGCTACCTGGACAAGCTTTGGGTGCCAGGCGTGGAGACGCCGTGAGCCGAACTCGAGGAGACTGTCCCCGAAATTGGGTGGCCGGTGTTGAAATCATAGGTGTTCTTTTTGGTTGGTCTGTTTAAAGAATAGAGGGCCCTGGTTTAGATGGGGCTTATTCCATGTACCAGGGCCATCTATTTTTACAAAAGGCCACCTATTGTCGGAATCCTCCGCTTCAGATGCTTTCCTTCTGGCGTTCTTTTGAACTGGAATCAAAAAGGGCATCCGTAAAAAAGAGAGGTTTGTGTCATGGGTTCGGAATCGCCTCAAACAAACCGACACACGCCTGGGTTTAGTTTGAAAAACAAGAAACGTCGCGGAAAAAGAAGGCGCATGGACGCAAAGAGACATATCTGACTAAGTCTATGCTTCAGGGTAGGCGAGCTACATGTGGAGCATGAAGGTGTGAGTCATGTGGGACTAGGTCCGCCAGTAGTGCCCTTCTCTCCCCTTTTTGGTTGGGAGGGTTCCCCTACTAAAACAGACCAAACAAAAAAAGTTGGTACCAACTTATTCGAAGCTCTCAAATCTGGAGGACCTAGTTGCTCGCTCGCTCGCTCCCTCGTTTCCCATATGCAACGCAGGCGCCTTGGTGCTGGGCGTCTTGGTGGGCACCTTGGCTGAAGCCACGGGGGAAGCCGAAGCCGAGGGGGTGCCTCGAATTTCCGGCTTGGACTTGGGTCCTGGGTCCAAAGACCGTTGCTGTCCTTTTTAGGTGAGCCTGGGTACAAATAGATGGCACTGGTTTAGATGGGATTTGTTCCATTTACCAGGGCATGGATTTTTCCAAAAGGCCACCTATGCCAAGGACCATTTTGGAAAAAGAAGTTGCGGAGCCTCTGGCTTGACATGGGCAGGGTGAGCCAGAGCTTCAAAACTGTGTTGGACGACCCGTTCTAGTGAGTAAACTGAACGTCTGGACTTGTTTGGATTCACTCGATCGGAAGTTTTCCAGGGGACTTCGGCAAAAGGGACAAGTTATACGAGCTACCATTCTTCAGGCTGGTTTAACTGGAAGCCAAAAATAAACTCATTCGGAAATGGAGGCATTCGCAAATCCCAGTTGCCCAGTGGAGCCCTTTTTTCTTTTTCTTTTTTGGAGAAGGGTTCCAATTCCTCTAAAGTCAACAAACCCCAACAAAAAGTGCCCTCTTTTTTCATGTGGAAATCCACTGGGCATCTGAGGAATAGGGCCACCTTCCCCATGCTTTTTGGGGAGCCTTCTAGAAAACCTGGTTGTTCTCAAGGGCCCCTGAGGAATTGGTCGGGGTTCTCCATTGGAGCATTGGAGGGGTCATGACCCTTAGGGAGCCTGGTTTTACTAAAAAAACAACAACAAAAACAAAAAAAGGGCCGCACGCGCCACCTGCGGACAAAATGAAAAGAAGGAACATCAGGAAGGCTAAAAAAAACAAACAAACAAGGAAGCCCAGTCTCGCAAACCTGAGGTCTGCTGATGCCGGCGCCGCATTCCTGGGGCAGCCGGCTCTCGGAGGTGCTGGGCTGGACCTATTTTTGCGCCTGGCCGAAGCCTCGACGGATTTTTTCGATTTGGGGTCTTCCCCCACTCTAGAAAACGGTTTCTTGGTGGTTCCTTAGCTTTTCAGCCTTTCAGTGTTTAGTGGGGGTTTCCATTCAACCCACTAGGCTTTGGCGGCAGGTTCTTTGTTTGCCCAGCATGGACTTGTTTCAACTAGGTCCTCCACTAGTGCCCTTCTCTCCCCTTTTTTGGTTGGGAGGGTTCCCCCACTAAAATAAACTACAGAAACAAGTTGGTACCAACTTATTCTAACCTGTCTACTGGAGGACCTAGTCTAGAAAACGGTTTGGCGCTTTTTGTGGAGTTCACCTGCTCTTCCCTTTGTAGGTTCTTGATCACTCTCTTAGAACTCTTTTCATATCCTGCAGGGGTGGATCCACAAAAGCCGTATCTAAACCGTTTCCCAGACCCACCCGCAGGGTGAGAGTCCGTAGGGGAACTTGGAGCTTTTTGTTTGGTGCCAGGTAGGCACTCACATGTCGGCTTGCATGCAGGAACTCACTTCTGAGTTGCTGGACTCTATACGTTTTGGGAAGGTCACTTTATCTTTGGTGCATTTTGCTTGGATGTTAGGACTTTAACTTTTTGCCAACTAACGGGTTTTCCATTAAACAACTAAAAGTTAAACTTTTAGCTCGGGAGCAGAAACCAACCGAGTTATGCATTCAAGAAGTGAGTATGGTTACATATGGTTCTTCTGAGCTTGGGTGGTATGGATACCTATTCCAGCAATATGTTTGGGCCTCCTGGCCCTTGAGTTCACATTGTTCGGCTTTGTTGTTCATTTCACATGTATGTATTTCCGTAAGCCGCGCGTTCATGTGTGCAGTCCTTTGCCTATGTAGCCATTTGCCTAGTTTGGGCGAGTTCACCTTGCGGACAAAACGAGCTTACCAAGGCTGTAGGCCCTATTTCATGAAAAACCCGCTTCGCTCTCATGGCCCCGGACCGCCTAAACCCCTCCCATGGGTTACTGACTCGCGGCCAAATCATGCCGAGGTCCGTGTCTTTCTACCCTCAGGCTGGGAGCCGCGAACTGGTCGCAGGTGGTTTCTTTTTTTTCTTTTTGGATCGAGGTGTACCTCAAGTTGCTCGATTTGTCGCATCCAGGGCTTCAGTGCAATGGCATGTTTGCAGCTGCTCTTTACTTGGTTCTCAGCAAGTCGGGCCTGGCATTTGTCACATTCTAGCTGCCATTCCCCAGGTTCCCTAAGGCCTTTTGGTAGCTTGCTGGCTCCCACGAATCATGCCTTTTCGGTTCAAAATCTGTTCGGGGATCTAAGAAAAATGATTCATAAAAAAAACAAAACAAACAAATGAAATCCCTGGTCGCACCAGCGGCTTGCCGCTGGGTCTGAACAATTCTATGAACACTTCCCCTCGCTCGCGAGCGGCTTCGCTTCGCGCGAGGTAGTGCTGAACTGGAGGAGGAAAAGCGTGGTGGGGCTCTCGCTGGACTACCAGCCGCTGGGCCCAAGCGACTCGGGGCCTCGGGGGGCCTTGGGCTGAGTGAGAGACTTCGCCTTCTTGCCTATTAAGAATACGGTGGATGGTTGCGAAATCCGCTTGAACGGCACCACCGTTCAGAAACCCTAGAATGAGAGGATTACCCTGTAAATACCAACGAACAATGATCTCCATGGTTTCCATGGTGTGTTGGGTGGTGCAGGATTTTGTCCATCCACAGTATGGGCATTCTAGAAGCTGGGTTGGATGTGGCTCTTGTGGATCCGCCCCTGTACAACGTGCCATGGCTCAGATTGGTGGTTTGGGGGTTTGAGCCTCTCTGGTTCTTGTAGAGGGTATCGGAGATGATCCACCAAAGCAACAGTTAAAGGGAAGCTGGAAGCTGGAACGAATGGAATGGTGTCCCCCCCCACCCCACCCCGCGCCCTCCTCTTTCCAAGTGAGGTTTGAGGTGGAGGCAAGTTCCCTTCCGATTTGCTTTTGCTAAGGATCCTGAATGCTGCGGCTTGGCCGCAACCCACGTCTCCGATCTCATGCCGATGGCAAAGTCTATGCATCCCAACTGAAAGCAACACGAACTTACCTACCCTAAGCGCCTCGCTTGTTTTTGGGCCCTCAAGACTGGGTTGTGTTCAAGCATTGGAGGGTCCGGGGGTGTGCATTGGAGGGTCATGACCCTTAGGGTAAGTTACTTATTTCCAAACTTGGCTAGGTCCCCCAGCTAGGCGCCCTTGTACCGTTTAATTTTTTGGGGAGGGTTCCCCAAGTAAAATAAACTACAGAAGAAAGGAAGGGCAGCCTTATTCTAAGCTCTCTACTGGAGGACCTAGGGTAAGTTGCCTTACTCGGGGATTCCAAGTTCTTTCGGGTTTTGCAATGGAAGGCCAGATCTGCGGGTGGACAGCATCCACGCCAGGCACCAGTCACTTACCAACAGGTGCAAAGCGGATGTTGTCCGGCCTCAGTTCCCTTAGGGTGCCCTTTCTGACGGGTTCTCAAATTTACAGTGGGAGCACTGTTAAACCAACATTTTTAGCCCAGGCAATCTTGAGGATGTCTTGCTAAAGTGGCCCAGCCCAGCATGATTATAGGGGTTGCTTCCCCATTCTTTTCAGCCATCGTTATTTTCAATAGCCGGATCCGTTGTTCCTGGGTTTCCTGAGGTTTTCTAGAAAGATTCGGATCCCTGCAAAGGGAAGCTATCCCTTGAAGTCGGGGTCGGGGGCCTTCGAGTTCGGCTTCGGCTGCTACTTCCTCTTCAACGCCCTGCTCTTCTGGGCCCCGGGCATCCGCGCGGCATACCGAGAGGTGCATGATGGGCAGGACAGCTCAGTGCCGCAAGTGTGGCGCCCTGGTCCCCTTTTGAATGGATGGGTTTCGGGGCCCCTGAAAATTTTGCATAAGAGTCCGCGCTTTTTCCCACCCCCCCCCCCCCCCTCCACCAAATCGTGGTGTTCCTTTGGGCTTCTTTCTTGGAGAGGGCCCTCAAACAAAAACACAGAGCCATCCTTCCTGGGAGAGTTGGACAGGACAGCGGGGTGAGGCTCAACGACGTGGTCTTCGCGGGCCACGCCTTCTGTATCACCTTGCTGACGCTTCTGCAGATAGGCCGCCTCAGTTTGTTGGAAGCAGTTTTTCAGGGTTTCCGAGCCATTCCCGTTTTTGGGTTACCTCCAACACGATTGGTCAATAGAAACCACAAGTGTATTCAGCAACTTAAGGGGAAGTGCAGTGACCCTGTCCCGGGCTCGAGTTCCTTGAAGCGTCAGGTTCAGCAGACCTGAAAAGAAACCTCTATCTTCCTGGTGCCTCAAAACGCTGCATTTTTGTCGGGTGCTTCAGGAAAACAAGCATGACATGAAGCTCCATGTGCTCAATATTGTTGTTTATGTTCCCCTATAGGCTTTACAGGGCACCTATCACTGGACATGTGTTCTCCTTTCTTCAAGGTGTATTCACACATGGAGGCACACAAGATGCGTACCAAACTGATTGGCTCCTACGCGTGGCATGGGGTCAAAGCCCAACGCGCCCTAGCAACTCGGGGCGGGCACTCCGCGAAACAGTCGCCTTCGACTTGTTTTCACCATGCACCAGGTGCGCGTAGGTCAGCTTGGTTGTCTTTGGTGGTTTTTGTGTTGTTTGGCCATGTGCCTTAGACATCTATTTGTTCAAGGATACCTTCTGTAGGGATGCGGTTGGCTTCCAGTTGCATGTTGAATCAGGCACAGCCAGCAGCCACATGTTCTTTGGTCTTGAGCTTGTGGGCCAATGACCTTTTTCGGGGGTACTCCCGGACTCCCACAAGATGATGTTCGCCACTGTTCTGTGCATTTTATTATTATTATTTTAAGTTTTCTTTCGGGCCGGAGGCTGGGGCTGGAGCATTTTTCTCACTCCCTGAGTTCCTGGACTCGACTCACTTTTGCGGTTTGGACTATGTCAGCGGTATCAACAAATGTGGACTTGTTTTAGCCCATCCACTCAGGAATTGAGTAAAGTTTAGGGGACCCCTCATACCTGGCCGCGCCTGGCATGCCTTCGCAGAGCTCGGCCCAAGCATCCCGCACTTTCGAAGACTCCAAGTGGCAGGCCAGGCGCCCGGGCGATGCAGGGGAGCCGTTTTTCTCGAAAAACATGTGGCATCCCCACCCCATAAATGGAATTGGGGGAGGGGGGGAGCTGTGGAGATTTGGATCAGTGGAATTGGGCACCCACTGCCACCCCCCCCCTTTCCGCCTTTCGGGTGGGGGGGATCATGCGGGTGTTTTCTTTTTCCGTGGGAGCCTTCGGTTTGCTTTGGGAAAAGGACAGCGAGCGTTTTCGGGTCCCTGATTTGATAGCCCATAGATGCCAGTTATGTAGTTTGAAATATACACTCCTCCACAACCTTCTACCTATTTAGGCACTTGTAGTGGCTTTGGCCATGGTTACTTCGTTCCCAGGATGAGCCTTGCGCAAGATCTTGACCAAGGATGGCTTTCCCGATTTAGGTTGTTCTTGGTGAAGGTCCAAAGCAAGTCCATTGTTTTGCTTAGCACTAAAATGCTCCAAGCCCAAAAAGTGACAAACGCCCAGGATTTTTTTGGAGCTAGTACTTGACCCAGTCCCACAAAGCGACCCCCTTGCAACACCCAGCTGTCAGTGTCGGGGCCAAAGGCTCGGCAGACATCCTCCAAGGATCAAACGCCTCGAGGCTCGCTTCGTGCTATGATTGCGATTTCTCTGTTTCCTTTTTGGCCGGCAGGGGCTGGAACTAGGTCCCCCAGCAATTGGTGCTCTTTTTAACCCCCTTTTTTGGTTGGGAGGGGAACCCCTTGTACCTTTCCTTTTTTGGGGAGGGTTCCCCTACTAAAATAGACTACAGAAAAAAGGGGACCTAGGGAAGCAAGGATTTGGCTGTGGCTAAAAACATGTGCCATTTTGGGCACCTTGGTAAATGGAGCCAGCAACTAAAGCCTGCGTAGCCCTGGCTGATTAAATTTGAGCCACACCCATTTTTGAAAACTGTTCTTGACACGACAACTATGTCCAACCCAGATTGACACACGAGCACTCTTAAGGACACCTTTGGGCAGGCCAACATATCGCCACCAGTTGAAGCAAGCTGAACTTCTTCACTTGAAGATGCTCCTCTTGCAACCGGCTGGTCAGCGGTTAGGAGCAGAGTTCGCGTACATGTTGTTTGCACACGACTGTCTCAGGCTGAATTAGGAATATATTTTTCCAACAGAGCCCAATTCAAGCCATGGCAGTCACGTAGTTTGCAGCAGACGATGATAGCCTTACTCACTTGCAATCAACTCGAATCGACCTTTTGACCTTCTTTTTTATTTGTCTGGTTTGGTCTGCTTTTGGCCAAGGTTTCAACAGGCTAATCTTGTCTTTCCATGTCCTTCGGGCAAGTGAGCCTAGAGAATCCCAAAGAAGGATGTTTCAGCGATTGCTACGCGGGATTGCGGCTTGAACGCCGTCACTTGAGGAATCTCGTTTTGGGTGCCCTGTAGTGTCCCATGTCAACCAGGGTAAGCATGTCTGAATATGTGACCCCCCCCGTTCCCTCCAGAAGGCAGCACGTCAGCGCATTGTGGGGAAACAAGGGGCGCCTTGAGTGAGTTGCCTGTTGGTCGAATGATGCAAACGGAAAACACACACATATATAGGGGTTGGCAACAGGAACATGTACAGGAGATGGCCCCAAAACACCGCAAACAAGCTGTGTGCCTCTACTCTAGCATGTCCTGTAGCCCAACCCTTGAATATAGGGAACCCTAGGAAATCGGCGCCCTCGGGGCTTCCTATGGCAAGGATGGCTTCCCGTTCGCTGCTGCTGGCTGCTGCCTTCCTGCCCCGCTTTGGGGCCGCGCCCGCCGAGGCGGGCGGGAGCCGTGGTTCGCCTTTGGCCTTTCTAAGGCTCAGTCCCTGAATCCTTGACTGCTATTGGGTTGGATCTGTAGACTTTCACATTTTGGGAAATCAAGGTGTGTTTCACTAAACCCCCAAAAGGTTAAACTTTTTGCAGGGGGGTCAACAGCAACCAAGAGTCCAACTGGACTTTTTAGAACTTTTTGGGCGTGGACCATCTGAGTAGTACACACAAAGTTAGGACCTTTTTATCCACTTAAGCGAGATGGGCGTTTCATGTCCCCTTCCTTGGGCTTTTTGGCCACCATCCCATCTCCCCCGTTGTGTCCCAAAAGCAGTCTGGAAAGCAAAAGCCAATCGTCGATTGGCTGCGTGTCAAATTGCTACCACATGTTGGCGTTGCGATGATGATGCGCGTGAAGGGTGTAAGGAGCGCCAATTTTGTCCCTACTCTCATTTTCTAAAGGATACTGAGTATGTTTCCGTGTTGCTGTCGTCAGCAACCTCTTGCTACCGCAAGAGGCAGTTGCTCCTTGGACCAATCACAGGGAAATCACCCAATTATTTCATCACATCACACCTTGTTGACGAGATTTATTGAAAGAATTGCAAGGTTGAGGCAACCCTTCCAAGAATCTCCAAGGTTCTAAATGATCTTATCCAAGATTTTCAATTTCATCTTCCAAGAATCTCTAACTCACTTGCTCAAAGCGAATCGACAATTAGGCGTTTTGGTTTCCCCTGTTTGGGTTCCCATGTTTAGTCTGATCACATTGTATTTCTGGGTCTGTTAAGAGGCAGGTGAGCTACTCACTTCCTGAGCTCCTGGACTCTCGCCGCTTCTTGGGAAGACCATTTGAGTGGTCCGGAAAATTTGGCTGCGACCGACGGAGATTTCGAGCGTGTCCTTCAGCCTCTCCGCATTCGACTTCCATTGGGCCACGGAGGTGAGGCTGAGAATCGCTTCCCTCGGGGCGATGGGTCCGTCGCCTTCTCACCATAGGTGTCCTTTTTAGACTGGGGTGGTCAAAAATATCGACTTTGGGCCATCAAAGGCGGTGAGGCTGAGAATGTGCTTTTTGGCTGTTTTGCCTAAAAAGTAGAGGCCCGGGTTTAGATGGAGTTGGTTCCCCGGGAAGCCCATCTATTTTTCGAACACATATGGATGAAAGTTGACCCCATATGATCAACCCAGCTTATTAATACTGTGGATTCAGGGGCCGGGGCCCAAGGCTCCAAAAAAAAAACCAAGGAACCCCAAGCTATCCTTCTCACCGCCCGCCTCCGCAACATTAAGGCCGCCACCCGCGTGCGGCGCCCCCTTTCCAGCTCCAGAAGCACCGTTGCCACGGCGGCAGTGCCGGCGCCGCTGCGGCGTGGCGGGAGAAACCAAAAGGAGGGTTTCTCTGCCCCGTTTTCCTGGGTTCCCAAGCATTGGGTTTCCCCATTTGGCTTAAAACAAACATCCTTTTTTGTTGGTGTTGTTGTTGTTTTTCAGTCACGCCCGGAAACTAGGTCCAGCAATGGGCGACCTTTTTAACCCTATTTTTTGGTGAGGGTTCCCCGAATAGAATAGACTACAAAAGAAGTATCATTATTAAATCCTCTCTACTGGAGGACCTAGCTTTTGTTTTTCGATTTGGGCCCCCAAAACTGAGGCTTTGTTTGTTCTTTGGTCTCCATTGCCAAGTTGAGTGGCTCCCCTGGGTGATAACCGGTTAATTAAGATGGTTCACCCGAACTTATGAGTGGGTGCCTAAACCAAATCGACCTTCTGATTTAGGTTCAGCCAACTATTCGAAGAAGCCCTGCGTACCTTCCCTTTCAATTCACTTTTTCGAGGCGGGGCGGTTTTCAACAGTCCCCTTTTTGCATCTGCAGCGGAAACCAAAATGGGGAACCTGAAGTTGGGTCTCATTGCGAGAAGCAATGCGCCGCGTGTCTTTCAGGGCAGAACCCACTCCCTGAGCTCCATGGACGTCAAATTTTGCCTTTTCGAAGGACAATGTACTTCAGTGATGCCTGCTTGCTGCTGTTTTCGAACCCATCTCAGTTCTTCTTCCCGCGGCTTCCCAGTTGGACGCCGAGCCACGCGCCTCTTCGCTCGGCGTGAGGCATTTGGCGGCCGGGCACGGGGTCTACGTGCCAGTCCAGCTGGGCAACCTCCAGGCGGCCCATGGCGCCTCGGATTCCGCGGATCGCTGGGTCACTGGGGGGGGGGGGGGTCTGGGCCCGAAGGTTCACTTCCACTTGCTGAAAGGGATAGCGTTCATTTTTCACCGCTTGGATTTAATGGGAATCGATTTCACTGCTGGAAATATGTCCCATTTTTTCCAGGTGGCGAAAAAGCAAATGGAAGTTCAACTACCAGCCTTGTCTTGGCACAAAAAGTCGCAAAGGGAAACTCACCAAGAAGTCGCCAAGGGTGACGTTTGCCACTCACTCCCTGAAATCAACTGGACTTTATCCACTTTTTGGGTTTGGACAATTTTTGTGAAAAACAAACTGTTCAGATTTTTTTGCCAATCCACTCAGGAAGTGAGATGCTTGCCTCCGTTTTTGGGGAAATGCGGGGAACACTACTCTGAACCCAAAAAATAGACGAACGGCTTCCCGCCGGACCAAGGGATAAATGTTCGGGAACGGCCGGCTGGTTTTGTAAAAGCGAACACGACTGCGGCGTTGAATCTACCGGAAGACTTGATGCGACTTTTTATTAGAGGCACCAACGGGAACGCAAGGAATGTTGTGGGGGTGCCCTGTTTTGAATTCCCGGCCTTTTTGCGAATGCGCGCAAGGAAGACTGCTCCCTGATCTTTTGCAACACTTCGCAACGCCCATTCAGGTTGGTCACCGCGCTGCTCTTGTCAACATTGATCAAATCCTTGAATGAAGCAAGGCCCCCTCCAATTCACATATTTGCCGCTGCGGAGGGAACGCCCAGCCCGTGGTACGAACAGCTTCGGCAAACGTGCCATGTTGAGAGGCATCTCTTTTGAGGGCCTTTACCTGGATTCCTTCCGTTCATTTCCAGCAGGGTACTATAATCTTGACTGCTATTTGGTTGGATCTTTAGACTTTAACTTTTTGGGAAATAAAGGGGTTTTCCACTAACCCCCCCAAAAGGTTAATCTTTTTGCAGAGGGGTTAACAGCAACTAAGTAATATCCATCTATGATTGTTAAACCCTTGCCTGGTTCATTCCTGTTCCTTTTGGTTCCCTCCTTTACCCAAGCTCGGGTGGGTTTTCACGCCTTGACCCCCCCCAAGAAAAAAAAAAAAACGGGCGCTGCCTCCGCCGGCAGCCGAGGCTCTGCTGGGAGCTTATGGACCTGGGTGGTGGCTGCGGCGGGCGCCTCCTGGCACGGCGTCACGCGGAACGCGCGGGGCGTGGAGCCGCGGCGGGCCGGGGGCGCCGGGAGCCGGGTGGTGGTGCCCCAGGAGTGGCGTGGCTCGGGCGCTTGGATCTGTTTCTTCGAAATGTTCGCCTCACTCCCTGGGATCAACCGGAAAATGCCAAGTTTGGGCTGCTCTTGGCCAATCGGCTCAGGAAGTGAGTTGCAATGGTCAAACGACTTTCATCTGCTTAAGGATAGTTGTCGCGTTTTAGAGGCCGAGAAACACGCACAGACACACACAGACACACACAGACACATACACATACAGTATGTCACATACACACATCGCCCACAAGTGCTCCGGATCCCTTCAGCTTGGGCACTCCCTTTGTACTTGGGTGTCCATTGCCAAGTCAGTAAGTTGTTCAACCTGTGTGAGGATCCACTTATAAGTCCCCCAACGTAGAGATACCCCAGCTACCAGGAGGGTTGAACCAAGGTGACTAACCGCTTTGTAACTTGGCCCGGCATCCAAGCAATCAGCCGGTGGTTTTGTGAATGCCTTGGGCGCATACCGCAGGAGGGCTACCAAACTGCCAGCGAGGATGAGGCAGAGGCGGAGCCCGCATCCGAGACAGCCCAGATGCCCTATGGCTATGTGCCGTACCTTGCATTGCCAGACTTAGCTTAATTTTTGACTTTGTTTTCTTCTTTTTCCTTTGAACGAGCCCAACGGTAAATCACCTTGCAGAGGATCTGAGTGGAAGTTCCGTCCACTGCTCCTGTTGGAAAACAAATCAGCAGAACATGTTAATTTCTGTGCTTTGCCCTAAAATGGATGAACCGACATGGGCCCTTGCCTCCTTTCGATGCACAAGGTACCAGCACCCGCACCAGCAGTACCAGCGGCTTGTCGATCCGAGTGCCCGCGGCTGGAGCACAGTAGGGAATGACCCCATTAAAGGAGACCGGAAACCATACGGGCCCTATCATAGGGATGGTCCAAGAAACCAACTACAGGAATTTCTACAGGAAACCCCCTGATTTTGGTGGGAATTTGGCTAGTTTCCTGTAGAATTTCCTGTAGCTGGTTTCTATGAGATGGTTTTTGTCGGGGTCATTCCTTCATTCCATGCCAGCAAGCTGAGGCAATACCAGCAGTACCAGCAGTACCCCATGCCCTTTGTCACTTGGTTTGATCAGCTACGTTAAGCCGGCCGAATGCACCTGGAAGACACTCAGACTCAATGCAATTCACAACGTGAACTTCCCATCAAAGACGTAACGACGGACGATGCCCTCCCAAACTGTTTTTGTGGGTGTGTGGATTTTGGAGGTACCGCTTTCTTGGCAGGAAACCACCCTTTAGTTTGGGGGTCCCTTGAAAACAGGTGCCATATTTGATGATTCCCAGAGTTGGTCTGCAATTGCATTGCCAACGCTGGTGTTGACATGCCCGGCCCGTGGCCCAAGCCTTGCAACTTCCATGGTGAAAGCACCAGAGCCCCGGCGACCAATGCCCGTAACTCTTGTGTATCCCCAGAAAATGGGAGCAGCTATGTTGAAACAATTTGCAGCAGAGATATTGCGCAACCGGCTGCCTGAATCTGATGCTGATTCAGTGTCGGAGGACAAGATCACAAAAGTTAGAGAGCTGATTGAGTGTTAGCAAGCGCCACTTTTCCAGCGCAGCCTTGTGCGCGGGGCCATCTTAGCTTAGGCCACCACGAGGAAACCCAGCAAGCCAGCTAAATAGACCAGTCACTTTGCCTTAGCCATTGCATCCTCTTTGGGGTGGATGCCGCCGCCGGACTTTTAGATCTGGCAGGGGGGTGACCGCGAAAATCAAAAGGCAAGGGCAAGCGCACAAGGGGCAGCTTTGTCCCTTTCAAACGAGCCACTCAGACCCCAGCGAACAGACAATCCCACTGTCCAGGCACTTGGGGGTGAGAAAATCCTTCGGCAGACACTCAGACACAAAGTGGCCGCGAGCTATGTTTTAAAAGAAAACCCGACATGGGCGCCAAAAGGGAAATGGGTGGTGGCTCAAAATTTAAAGAGCTAGGCTTACGCAGGTTTTAGTCTTTGGCTCCCTTTGGCCAAGGACGCCATTTTGGGTGCCATTTTTTGAGCTTCCAGTTGCTTAAGAATATGTTTATTTTTCACTTTCCCTTGCTGGTCGTAAAGGGAATCTATCATTGGACATATGTTCTCATTTGTTTGGGGGGGACTTCAGCAAATCAAAATTTGAGCCACGGCCAAATGCATTTGCTTCTTCCAGAGCTTCCATTCAGGTGATGGTGGCCATGCCCGTGGAGGAGGCGTCGGGGAACGTCACGGACAGCCCGGCCGCCGGGAGCGTCGCGGCGGCCGCGCGGCCGCTTTGCCCGGGCCAGGCCGGCTTTTGAGCATAGGTGTCCTTTTTGGTTGGTTTGCTCACGCCATGAATTTTAATAGGGAACCACCTGAAAAGTGATTGGTGGACATGAATCTCCACCTAAATGATGTCCACTAAAGGGCTCCTTGTTAAAATTCATAGCCAAATGGAGGGTGCTGGTTTTTTCATGGGGCTCATTCCATCTACCAGACCCATCGACTTTTCCAACAAGCCACCGCTATGCTTTTGAGGCTACTGGGTTGGTGTGAAGCCAAGCGATCCGGTTCCTGAGGTCTGTCGGTAGGTCTGTGCGCGACGGCTACGAACCGAGATGCCCACCTACAGGGTGCCAGTGGCCAAAGTTGAAGTTTGGATCCCCTCAAGTGAAGCGGCTCTTTTTTTTTCTCATTTTGTTTCTTCTTATTTTGTTCTTTTTTTCCCCCTTTTTGTTTCTTCTTTTTTTTCCGATGTGCGCTGCAGAACCAACCAGACCAACCACACTCAATCATTAAAACAAAGCTAGGTAGACGACGGTCAATTCGGGGGGGTTCAACTTCTTCGAGGAACTTGGCGAACGGGGCATCCACCAGCCGGTGAGCCGCCAGGTAGAGCGTGCAGCCACCCCCGACAGCGACTGGGCCTCTGCCGCCTCCGCACCTTGAATTCCGAGAGATCCGGGAGATTTGGTGTTGGTTTCTCCCGTGCAGGCAGCTAACAAAACCAACCCGTTGAAAACTCTGTGCGTTCTAGGGGCCGCAACGCGCTTGGGGTGGGGCCCTTCTTTCAAATCACCAGCCAAGCATTCAACTGGAGGGTACCACAAGATGATTTGTTTGGTTTTTCTTCCAGTGTTTGTTTTTGGTTAACTTGCCTTCCATATCAGGCGCCAACACCCAGAACCGTTCCAACATGTTGGACAGCCGAACTCGAACACATGGAAAGTCGGCATGATGCAGCAATGCTTTGGAAGGTTGTAAGGTCATGGTTGTTCCCGCCCTGCGGGTCCAGATGAGGACTGTCAGCCATACCGGGACAATGTCTGGTTGAGAAATAGCACCTGTACCGAACTCCTTGGGCAGCCTCAGGAAAGCGAGGACATAGCGTAGCTATGTGCGTGGACAAACGTGCAGTTGCAGGGTCGTCCATTAGTGGATGTCTGTGAAGCAACAGCACCACCCCCCTTGCTGGCGAGATAGGCAAGCCGACCCTCCAGGTCTTGGGGATGAAATGGAAAGGATTTTTTTGAGGAAACCACCAGTTGGAGGAATTTTCTCGGGGTCATTCCATTTCTCATTCCCTGCCTTTTTGGCACCACTATATAACTATACGACTAGAATAGGTCCCCCAGTGCCCTTGTACCAACTTCTTTGGGGGAGGGTTCCCCTACTAAAATAGACTACATTAAAAAATCGGGCAGCCTTATTCTAACCTCTCAAATCTGGAGGCCTCAATGTCAACAAGAAATGGTTTTTCATGGTTTCCCCCTGGTGCGGGAAAGAATTTTGCCCCATTATGGACCAGCTCACCCCCCGCGAGGCCTCCAACGCTGCCACACCGTCAGCGTCCTACGCCTCGGCCACTTCTTTCGCGCCGCGGTGGACGAGCCGAGACTGCGGCGCGGTTCGAAGCAGGTCAGCTGCAGGGAGCGGGGGTGCAGGGCCTCCTGTGGCGCCCAGCTCTGTGTGACGTTTCCTAAAGTCATGATTTAATCAGTGTTCCCTACTAGGTGCCCCAGTGGTGCCCTCTCTCACCCCTTTTTTGGGCATGGGTCATAATGTATGCCAAGCCATTTTGGGGCGGATGAACACCCATGTACCACCTATTTTGATGTTCACCAGAGCTGGGGTGAGGTTTCCGAAAATCATGGTTTGATCAGTGCCTCCCTAAGGGTCATGACCCCTCCAATGCACACCCCCGGACCCTCCAATGGAGAAATCAGGCCTCAAGTTGAAAACACCGAGGAACCCCCCATATTTTTGTTCGCCCCTGATTTTTTTGTTTTTGGGGGGGGGTTTCCCGCTACTAGCTGGTGTTGCAAGGGAGCCGGACGCAGGGAGCCGATCGGGGAGTTTTGGTTCGGGACACGGTATAGAGTAAACCTTCCTGAAAAAGGTACCGCAAGACGTCCATTTGCCTTGGAGAATATGTTTGATGTTTTCTTTGTTCGCTTTAAAGGGAATCTATCACTACTGAACATATGTGTTCATTTCTTTCAGGGGGCTTACATAAGCAAATAGAAGTCGCCCAAAAGAAGTGAGACACCCACACCGGAGACCGCCTGGGTCCTGGGTCCAGGGCATCGCAATCTCCAAGGCGAGTGGGCGAGCCGCCAGCTGGCGAACCCCTCCTTTGCCCGCCGCCAGGCGCGCGGAAAGAGCTTTCCGAGCGCAGAGCCGAGAGCCCTGAGCCAGGGTCTGGGCAGTGGTTGATCTTGGTTCCAGCCATCCCCTGAGCTTTTTTAGCTTTTTACAGTGTTTAGTGGGGTTTTCCATTTAGCCCACCGGGGGGATCTGAGGACAGCCTAGGTTTCACTTGTCCAAAACCCCCATTTTGACCTTGGCGGTGGTTGCAAATGTGCTGAAAACAGAGCCAGCCCGACACTCCTTTTAGATTTTCCAAAGAGGGTGGCACCGAGAGTCCCCTACCTTCCGCATTCCTCACCTGCCCAAGGCGAATCGATTTGACCCTTTGGGCTGCCTAAGGGGCAACTGAGTTGCGCTCTTCTTGGGGATGGTTCAAAGGCTAACGAAGGGGACACCCAAAAGGGTCTGTTTGTCGCAAACTAGGGCCACAAAAATGGCGTCCCGTCCGGGTTGTCCAGTGGCTCCCCCAAAATTTACTTGGTTTGGCACATTGCCCGCGTAAAGCAAAGTGTCAAACCGAAAGAGGGGTTCTCTTTTCTACCAAGGTGACTGATAGCTGGAGGTTCAAAGCTGCTTTGCTTCCCGGGCAAAGCGACCCCTCAAAAGTCAAGCTTGAAAAGGAGCCAAAGCAAAGCGACCCCTCGGTGCGTCTGGGAATCGCAGGAGTTGATGCAGCAGCTGGTGTCAGAAGCCTGGAGTCTTTCCAACAGCAAGCACGGAACCCGGCTCATCCAGGCGCGCGCGTGAAAAGACTTGTGAGGCGCTTTTGATCTGGGGCGGGTGTCAGCAGTGGGATTTTCCTCCCTGCGTGAGTTCGGTTTTGGACGTTCAACTTTTTGGGTTTAGACCATTTTAGGTGGCACTCACAAAAAAGTGTGGATTTGTGTTGGCCCATCCACTCAGGAAGTGAGTGGCTGGTGGAGCAACAGTAAGACAGGTCAGTTTCACTGGTCCTCAAAAAGAGGTAGACGGAGTTTGGGGGTGAAACGGCCCCAAAAGGGCAACACTGGCGTGATTTTGTTTATTATTCGAGACACTTATGTTTAGAGAGGACCCTTCAAGCAGAGCCACGATGTTCAGAAAACACGCTTTAAGCAGAACCACGCACGTGTGGGTCATGGGCGTCCTGAGTTGAACCGGGGGTTTGTTTCCAAGAGCGCGTTGGATCGATCCGTTTTCTCTTTGAGTTACGGGGTGGGCCACTTTTCGATGTTGGACACCCCCGGTTTTATCGGGGGCGGGGGGGGAAAAGGGGCGGAACCCGGCATTCTCATGGGAAACTACTGACCCCAACTATTTGCTTATAAGACTTTTGTTTATGTTCTTGTTTTGCTTTTTAAGGGAATCGATTTCGCTACAGGAAATATGTATTCGTTTTTTTCCAGGAATGGGAGTAGCCCAAAAGAAGCGAGACACACCGGAAACCGCTTGGGTCAAGGCACTGTTTTTTTTTTGTCACTGGAAACGTCACTGTTCTTTCCAAGGTGTTAGTGGTCTTTTTTTGGTTTTGTTCATTTTTGCTGCCCCAAGGGTCTCGATTTTTTGGGCCCTCAAAACTGGTTGTTTTCAAGGGCTCTTGAGAGGGTCGGGATTCTGCATTGGAGGGTCCGGGGTGTGCGTTGTTATGATCCTCAGGGTGGACAGAATTTCTCTTTCTTTTCTTTGTTGCATTTTGCTTGGTTGTTAGGACTTTAACTTTTTGCCAACTCATGGGTTTTCCGTATTAAACCACTAAAAGTTAGTCACTTTTAGCAGGGCTTCGCAGATTTCGCAACCGAGTTGTTTGTGGTCCAGGGGGCACACAAAATCTAAGATGGAAGCTTCTCATGGTGGTTTGGACTGGTTTGGGGGGCCTTGAGCCCCACTTGCTTAAGTCCGTTTCTGGGTCCCCCAGCTAGGTGCCCTTTTACCAACCCCTTTTTTGGGTGGGAGGGTTCCCCTACTAAAATAGACCGCAGAAAAAAAGGGCGCCCGAGAGATTCCAACCTCTCAAATCGGGAGGGCCTAGACCAGCATCATGTTGTAACACCTGGAGGTCATGTTTAACCCTTGTCGTTCATACATTGATCAATGGAACCTGCTTTAGATGAGCTTCATTCCATTTAATTTGCCAGGACCACGGTGTTTTTTCCAAAAGGTCACCTGCGGTTTGTCTTGGGCGCCAAAAATCGACTGGACGAGTCCCAGGACGCCTTGGACCAGGCGGAGTACGCGGAGCGCCTGCGCCTGGCTGCGGCCTTCCAGGGCAGGGTCTGGCAGGCGCGGCTGAGACGGGAGGCTGCGGCCGGGATGCGCATATTATTGGGTGTGGTTTTTCCAGGGGACCCTTCCCCTGCACAACAAAGAAAGAAAGATAAAGAAAGGAAGGAAGGAAGGAAGGAAGAAAGAAATAAAGTGGTTTTGCCTGTTGGTTTCCCTTTGAAACCCATCCGAAAAAGGGGTAATTACCCTTTAAAAACAGACGCACGGAAGTGGGTGTGGGGTTGTTTGCCCTTTTGGCTATTGCTTTAAAGCACAACCCGCCACTTCAGGGAAACCACGAAAAACCCCGGGGATTGTCCCCTTTTTGAGGCTCTTCTCTTTCCATTTGCGTTCAGAATGTGTTATTGTTCCTGTTGTTTTTAAAGGGAATTTATCGCTGCTGGAAATAGTTTCTCATTTTGTTTGGGGCTTAATCAAAATGACAGTTATTCGAGGCCATCTTTCACTAAAATAGACTAAACTTGGTGGGGCACCCACATCAAAATGGTACCATTGGTTTTGACCCACAGCCATTTTCGAGCCCGGCCAAACAAGGGGAAGGCGTCTTTTTTTCTTCGTCCGGGGCACCCGGTCCTCCGACCCGAGCCCCGCCGGTCCGGTGGATTTTTTGCTCGAGGCGCTGAAGTCCCCGCATGCCAACCACGTGCTGCAGAAGGTCATCGCCCTGATGCCCGTGGAGAAGATCCAATTCGTGGTGGATGCGCCTCAACTCTTTGCGCTGAGCGAGCGAGTCGGACAAACGGGGGATTGGTTTTAATAAGGGAAGGCAAAGGAAAGAAGTTGAAGAAGGAAGCCCGCGGAAAAAAGGCGGGTGGTCAGAAATGGATTTTTGAATGGAAGCCCCCGGAGAAGGCTGGTGGACATGGCTTCCCAAAAGTAAATGATGTCCACAAAAGTGTCGCTATAATGAAATATCATAGGAACCGGGCTGCTTCTGTTTTGTTTCCCACTTCAACTGCTGAAATCTTTAGTAGACCCTAAGCATCATTTGACCCTCCATTGAAGGGGCTAGGACCTCCATTGCAAGGTTGCCCTCGAAAGAGGGCCCGAGATGTTTACTTGGACGTTCGATTCGCCAAGTTAGTCCGTGGTTCCTGGAGTTCTTATTTACAATCAATTCCCCATTCTTCTCGGCCATCGTTCTTTTCTCAAACACCGGCTGTCTCTTTTTTTGACGGTTTCCTGGAAAGAGTCGGATCCCCGGGCTCAGAATGGATCCGGTACCCCTGAAAAGCTCCAGCTGTTTCCCCTTGGATGGTTTCCTGAAAAGATTCGGATTCAGAATGGAAATGGATCCGCTACCCCTTTTCCTCCACCTCCGACGAGGGACAGAAAAAGCCTTTGGCGCGGCCATCGGGTCCGAGGAGCTGGCGGGTCGGCTGGGGGAAGCCGCCAGGCGCTGCTTCGGTTTGGGGGGTTTTGGGGGGGGTTTGGGGGGGTTTGGGGGGGGGTGGGTTGGGGGGGGGGGGTTTGGGGGGTTGGCGGGGCGGGTCTTGGGCTGGAGCCAAGTACCTCCACTTGACAAGTGTCTTCTTTTTGCTTCTTGGGGATCCCCGCCCCCCCCCCCCCCCCCCCCAACAAAAATGGGGGTGTGGTTTGTGTCGTTTCCCCGATGTTTTTTTTTTTTTTTTTTTTTTTTTTTTTAAGTTTTTGTTTTAATCCACTAAAACAAGGGGTACCCCCCCCCCCCCGGTGACTTAATGCAAGGGATCCAGGAGCCACACATTATTTTTGCAGTTCTATTATTCACTTCCATTTGCTTAGGAGTATTTGTAGTTTCCCCTGTTGGTTTTAAAGGGAATCTATCTATCACTACTGGACATATTTATTTTTTCCAGGGGTCTTAACCAAATGGAAGTTTATGTGTGTCTTGTTTGCTGATAGCGCTTTCATTGTACCAGCTTTTGAGGGGGTCTCCCTTCTTTTTTTCTGTTCCGCAGATCTCAAACACTGCCTTGCTTCCTTGTTTGAACGGGCCTCCCTTCAAAGCCAAGTATTGCTTTTGGCTATGGAGGTCTTGGGTTTGCTTCTTTACTTGTCATCCTCAGCTGGCACCCGGATTTTGCCATACCCGATTGGCGAAATTCGCTTGCGAATGCGACTTCACGTGGCGGCCTTGCTTCGTTGTTTTTTCTTGGGCGTTCTTCGTTCTTTCTTCCCCATGTCCGTAACGGATGCTTCCCAACATTGCCTGATTTACATGGATTAGTTGACCCTCCAAATTGGCCAGTGGATGGCCCAAGTGCATCCTGCAAGGGGCCAACAATTGCCAAGGGATAATTCCTACGTGGCTGAAAGTCGTTTGCACTCGTCCTAGTGGTTTCGGCCCTTTCAGCTTCTCATTTCAGGGTCCACGCTTGGGACAAGGGGGCCCCCACCCTCCAAGCCAGAATCCAAACCACCAGTTCAAGCAAAGCTGAGTAATTGCCAACGCTCTCTTCCAGGGTCATCATCTCAATTAGTCTTATGACACCAAGCCCCCATTGAAATATCAAATGGGGGGTCTTTTGGTTGAGTTCCACTAAGGATTTCCCTTGCTGGGATTGGTCCCTAGGGAGGTTTGCCCAAAGATTCATCAACCACAAAAACTGGGCTTTGTCCAGGCTACTTCTTCTCCTCCCCAGGAGGAGAACCCCTGAATCCTTCAGGGGCCCGGGGTGGCATCATACTGCGGATGAACAAAATACGCTCGCACCACCTAAGAAGCCCTGGAATGATGATTCCCCTGTAAATACCAAACAAACGGTGGTTTTTCCATGGGGCCATTTTTTGGGGGGAACTAAACGGGAAACATTCCCCCAAAGAAAATCGGGACCCGTTTGTCCATGGTTTCAAGTGGTGCGAAAAGCGGATGTTTGATCCAGCAGCCGTCGAGGCATCCCTTCGGCTGCCGGGTGCTGGAGCGGTTCCTGGAACACGCCTCGGCACAGCAGAACCAGGCGATCTTGACCGAGCTGCTGCAACCTGGTGCGGCTTAGAGGCCTTTCTGGCCACATGTCCTACTAAAAAGTGGTTTGCTTTTGGCACAGGATCAATGAACAAACCTCTTTGGCTTTTACACTAAGTCCCCCAGTGCCCTTTTAACCCCCTTTTTGGTTGGGAGGGGAACCCCCTACTAAAATAGACAACAAGTAAAAAGTGGGTCCCAACAAGTTCTGACCTCTCAAATCTGGCGGACCTAGGCTTGGAAGGGGGGGGGGGCCTGGACTCGTGTCGGCGTCTTTCGGGAAGCCACCCGGAAGAAGAAAGCACAAACAATCCAAAGTCCCGGGCACGGCCGGGCTTTTTTTCGGCCACATGGAAAGCTCCTTAAACATCTGCAAGTGCTTTTTTGGTTTTGTACTTCTTTTTTTTTTTACTTTTTTTTTTTTTGCTGGGGGTATCCAAGTTTGCTTTCAAGAAGGAGCATGACTCGGAGCTACCGATTGGAGTTCTGGTTAGGGGCATGGTGGCAGCTCGGGCCCTGGAATTTGATCGGACCGGCCTGCGTGAAGCCACGAACCACAACTTCATGTGCTTACCTCAGTTGTTCAGTGGCTCCCTTTTTCCATTTTTTTTGGGGGTGGCTGCCCCACGAAAATGGTCTTCCCAAAGAAGGGTTCCCTTTTTTTTCTCCAGGGTCACTGAACAACTGAGTTACATCAGGCTGGGCTTCGGAGAATGTCCAGTCTGCCATGCGGGAGGAGCATGGGCTCCCCAATGTTCCCCACGACCAGGCTTACACATTTTCCCAGGGACTTGGGATTGCAGTTTGGTTTCCTCTATGAAGCTGCAACACGGAACCCAGACAATTCGCTGGTGCGATAGGGAATGACCGAGTCGCGGGATTCCCAAGCAGCGGAGACCAAATCGGGAATGGTTTCCTTTGGAGCCAGAACATGGGACAAAATGAGTACCCACGTTTTTCTCACGGAACCTGACGTTTGGGGGGTTCAAACAGACCCCCCAAAGGTCACTCAATCTCAAATCGGCACCAATTTCGCTCTTTTGAATGGTGATTTGGAGTTATGTATCTCGTCCAAAGCCAATCGACCTCTAAACCTGTTGGTTTTCCTATCTTGGTCCATTTTCCGTCATTATTGAGGGCAACACAATTATGTTCCTCTGCTATGGCTTGCAACCTCTAAGAATCTTGCCGAACAAATGCAGGTCGCTAGCCAAATTATTTGGTGTGACAAGTTGTAGAAATTCCTTCGCAAGGGTTTTCAGATAGTGTGGTGTTTCTCTTCACCGTTGTTGGCATGATTTTGGGTGTGGGGTTGTGCTCATTTTTCAACAACGAAGTGTTTCTTCACTGTTCTTGGCATGTGTTTAGTTTTTTAATTTTTTGGTTCTGTTCATTTTTACTGGGGGTCTGCAAAAAACACAGTTTGTTGCTACCATACCAAGAGTAGAGATGGTTTTGTTGCCATACCAGGGTTGGAAAGTACGGACCCTTTGACCACTGAAGGCCATTCACCTTCCATGCCCTTCACGTGGCTTCTGGGGCTTTAGCTCATTCTTCAACCACGTTGGACCCAAGGCGGCCGCTGAGTTTGGAAGGCTAAATTGGCGCAAACCCGGGCTTGGCGTGCAGGGGAAACTAGTTTTACTGAAGTGTCACATTGACTTCTTGAAGTTACTGCACATCTCTTTGGTAATAACTGTACGTGTTCGAAATCGAAAACTTTCATGTTTCTCCTTTTGTTGAGGCAAACAGATTTCCCTTTAAAATTCTATACTCATAAGTGTCATAGATAAGTTATAAAAAAACATTCCCCGAAAGGTATTAAATAATAGTTACTTTGTCTTGGACTATTTGGTCATTAATATCCCATTGTCCGTTCTTGTTTGTATCTTTATATAAAGTAAGTTTATTAACAGCGCCAGCATGTCCTGTGAAGGCTTCTGATTTATAAGAATATCCAGAATAGTTGACTTCTCTTGCATCAAACATGTTGTTAGGAGCTTTTATGAAATGAGAAGCAGCTTTATCAACTTTAGCTGTTGAAACTTGCATTCCATCTCCAACTCTTACGAAGTCAAAAGCTTTTGAGGAGTATCCCGCAAAAATACTTCTTGAAGGGCTATAGAACAATCCTTTAGCGTAACCATATACATCATTAGCATATAGATCTACTAGTTTCTTAGCATCTTCAGTTAAATCTCCGTTAGCTTTTCAAGCAGGAGTTTTATTTGCTGTCATAGTTAAAGCATCAGCTTGAAGAATTGAATTAGCAAATTGAGCTTCTTTGTGGTCGTAAGTTGCAACCTCTAAAAGATTCATAATCCTATTTAAGTTTTCCATTGAAATACCAAAGTGATATGCTATATCAAACCCAAACTCTTTATGATAAGACCAACCACCCTGAGATCCAAAGTTAAATGCAGTTTGAAGTCTTTTACCATCAACAGGAAACATAGTTGTAAAGTTAGTATCTAATCTATTTTGTTCTGCGGTTGAGTTTCCGTTTAGTGCTTGTTGAGAAATGTTATATCCAATAACTTTATCTCTAATAAGTAGTTTTGAAGTCCTGTTGCTACATCACCATCTTTGATTCCAAAGATTTCTGGAAGTGTAGAACCTAAAGCCATTGTTTCATGGTGACCGTATTCATGTTGCATAGTTCCAAGTATTTGTTGTAGTCCATACTCATCCATTGCTTTTTCTTGTGTGTTCTAGAATCGAACACTCCAGCTTGGACTAGTTGATCTTGTTGAGGACCACCTCATCCCGAAGAACCCATTTCAGTTCCTAACGCAAAAATCCTTGTTCTTTTGCCGCTAACAGCTAATTGACCAAACCCCATATTTTCATTAGCTAAGAATTGTTTTTAATAATCTTCACTGACTGATCTTCAGTAAGACCGGGGATGACCCTGGAATTCCATTTATGGGTCCATTTCCCTTGCACGGGCAAGGCTAGATAAATGGAATTGGGGACGCACACAGACACACACACACACACACACCCGCCCGCCCTTGGGGGGGATGGGGGAAGTTCGTGCCTTTGGGTCGCAGTTTGGTAGCGCTTGTCCGGCAGAGAGAGAGACATTTCCGGCCCGAGCGCAAAGTCTCGCGGGCCATGCTGTGCGCCGGAAAACCTGTGGAGGCAGCAACACCGGATGCCGTGTGCCGTTCGGCGGTTCGATTCGCCGCTTTTGGAGCGTACCCAAGCCTTTCCAGTTTTGCTTGGAGGTTAGGACTTTAACTTTTTGCCAACTAATTGGTTTTCCATTAAACCACTAAAAGTCAAGTTTCGGCTCCGGCCTTCACGTGGCGACTTGGTCGTGCTTCGCCCGCGAATGGAGCCATGACAGTCCTACCCGACCGCATCCTCAAGATGGTAGCACTTGCACGCCTTCACGGTGAGCAAGGACACAACGCCAAGGTTGGCAACTCATTTGTGAGGGATTGGTGCAGTTACGCCTTGGTGGGTGACCACATCCTGTGCCAGGCTATGCCTTTCGTGCCAGAGGACTTGAAGGCGACAGCTTCTTTCACCGACTCCTCCTTTGAGACCGTCCTGACCTTTGTGCTGCCGAAGCAGATTTACAACCTTTTTTCTGATTTGGATACACTGTTCCTCGGGAACTTCACATTGAATCAGGATCAGAAGTTGGTTGAATTCCCGGTCCACGCATGGCTTTGGAGCAACAGCAGTTACATCCTCTGCCCAAAAGCAGAATCCTTTCAAGGAGGCCCCAGACTTTTGGAACTCTTTGCCGGAGCATATGGGGGATGGCATCAGGCGTGCACGTTTCTCACACAGCAGGGGTGCGACATCCCAGTCGTGGCCGCAGTCGAAGCCGCAGAGCATGTTGCACGAGCATATAGCATCACATTTGACGCCATTTTGGTACCGCAGGGAACCCCCACAGGGAAGATCGCGCTCCTACAACCGGATGCAACAGTTCTTTGGCAGGCTTTTGTTGAGGACCCATCTTGGAAGACTGACACCAGTTTGTTGTGTCCAAACATTGTGAGCATCAGCAGCCCATGCCCTTGTTGGAGTACAGCAGGCCATTCGCGTGGTTTGGATTCGGCCGGCGGTGAAGCATTGGTATCATCCATCTGTTTTTGCCGTGCGCAACGCCCGATCCTGGTGTTCATGGAGCAGGTCCCGGGTTTCAAGGAACACCGGCACTACGGAACCATCCAGCAGCTATGGAAATGGGCAGGATACGAACTGATCCACGAAGCCGTTTTGGATATCCAAGAAGTTGCACCCGTGCACAGGGCAAGATACTTGGCGGTTTTTCGCATCAAGTCCGACCAGAGTGCAGTACCCAACTTTGCGCCGTGGATCCGCATCAGTTGCAACACACCTGCCAGCTTTGGAGCCATGATCCAATTGCCTGATACCGTGTGCGCTGAGCTTTTTCCGCCCTTGCATTTGTTGCGCATGTACTGGGACCCTGAGCTCCTCCCTGAATCTAGTGGGAAGCGTAAACGCAGCCGCCCAATTGACGACCAGCGCATCACCACCCCAAACCAGGTCCTGAATACTTTCATGAAGGCGTATGGTTCGCAGCATTTGTTGCCCGACCGTGACCTCAGTACGAAAGGCCTCTTCGGTCAGCTACTTGCCACTGAATTTGGTTTGCGGTTTTGGTCCCCCCCGGAGATCGCCATTTGCCACGTGCTTGCCATTCCACTCTTCTTTGAGGATTGCCTTTCCAATGGGTGGCAATTTGTAGGAGATTGCATTAGCACCCTTCACGCGGCGTTGATCATTTCCAATGGTTTGTTGGTTCATGCACCGTGGAGTACGATGTGTCAGCACCCTGCAGACGTGATCCTCAACCTGCTTGCACACAGGTTGAAAGCCAGCAATGCAGTCGTCCTTGATGTTGGTCCACATTGGATGCTTGCAGAGCAAAGCAAGGCGGCCGAACAGAAAAGAGAGTTCAGCCTTAGGCTTGCCACGCACCAGCACGCATGCACGCTTCCTGAACCTGCCATTGTATGGCCATCGGTCGGCTGTTACACCATCAATCTCGCCGATCAGACCATTGATGTGAGCCACCCAGGCAGTTCACTGTGCACGCAGCCCTTCACGACATGGATTAGCATTCGCATCCACACCAGTACTTCCTCTGCCATTGACCTCATGATCCATACTAGCATCACATGGGAAATGCTCTGTGGATACTTTGGCTGTGAGTCATTGTTTGAGTTTGAGGACCCCAATCAGGTTTGCCTGGTAGGAAATGTGTTTGCTACTGAGGTGCTCGCCAAGGTAGGAACCTCATGCATAGACCGCCAGCACCATTTGCTTTTGCTCGATACTACCGAGGGGCCTTACTTGTGGAAAGCGGCATCCCCTACACCTGCGATAGATGCATTTGCGAGAGCTTTTGACGGCCGTTCAGATCGAGTGTACTCCTTGTCCGAGTGCGTTGAGCCTGCAGCCCAGACCAGTCATTATGATTGGGTCTCGTGCCAGCCACTTCAGCCAACACCTGGACCACCAGCCACGATTCACACGGTCATGCAAGCCCTAAATGGAACCACAAGAATTTGCACGGAGTGTATCCCGTTTCAGGCTGTGTCAATCCTTTGCACTCCAAATCAAGGCGACCGGATTGATGCCAAAAATGCCGCATGCTTTTGGTACCAGTTGTTGTCCGCACACAAATTTGCACGCATTGGCTACACTGCTGAGGAACCCGTGCCAGTCAGATCAGGATACCTTGTCAGGTTTGTATTCACACCAGGACATTCAGCATGCCCAGTCCCGCCTGATGTTTTGCTGATGGACTTGCAATCATTAGGGGCCAAGGTGCTTTTCGACATGCTCGAAAGGGATGCAAGCCAACCCACTTCGGCCATTGCCCTCCGAGCCAACCGATTCACGCTATGGAAGGGTCAAGTGGACACGCGTGTCACCATTGCCTTCCTCCAGAGTATCCTGCGATTTGCATTTGGGCCTGCGTTCTGCAACGTTACACCGCAGTGCAACTGGGCTGTCAAGTGTCTCCGGCCTCAGTGGCACATTGCCCAGTGTAAAGCTGTTTTGCCGTTGCATGTCCAATATAAGATTAAGCCACTTGCCATCTTTGTGAACTTCCCGGTGCCCCGCGGAGGCTCCAAGAGCGAGCAGGCGCGTGCATTGAAGAATCAGATTGCAGCCAATCTCCTTGCCAAAGGCATAGCGCTCCCCCAAGGTGCATTTTGTCGTTGATGCCTTGTATAAACATGCAGGTGTAGGAAGGCTTCAGGAGATTGTTGGCATTCCGGATTCCAACCGCCAGTGGGAAGCCCTCTGTGAGATTTGTCGACAGCACGACATCGAAGTGCCTCACAAGGATTCCACCACACTCGCCGCCATGCACAAGATGTCCCGGAACAATAAGGATTCCAAGCGTAGTCCCAACACTGTGCCACTTGCAAAGGATTTTGTGCTTGTCCCTGGTGCATTTGTCAACGAAGACGGAACTAACACTTCGGTCCTCAAGAAGATTGCACCAGGAGCCACAGGGATCTGGCTGGCCGACCTCGATCAGGCCAAAGAATGGCTCCAAGGAGAGGCCATAATCAGCACTGACGAGCTTGGCATCCTTGTCATTGGAGCAAATGCACCTGAGTCCGAACGCCCATCAGAACAATGTGCCGTTCCAGCCAATGATTGTGCAGGTAGGCCGGTCCTGCTGTCAGCATGGTTGATCCAACTTGGTGACAAATGCATTGCTCAGAACCGTGAAGGAATCGCTGCCATAGCACTTCCGGAATCGATCACGTGCGCCTTTTCCATGTACCAGGAAGATTTCCAGGCTGATACCTGGCAAGCTATTCGGGAGCACCCGGTCCGTCAGGCGAGCAAATATTGGAGTGAAGTTGCCGACCAACCGGTCTTCATATCTGTGTGGGGCCGTAGTTTCCACGCTGATCGTAAGCCGGTAGCCTCCCACCTTGCTACCAGTGTGCAGTTCTTCGCCCAGCTTGAGCTGCCGAAGGCCAAGGCCATGTTGCCTAAGGGTGGTTTCCACGGTTTTTACATCACCCCCCGCGATCCCGATCATGGCCCAGATGACACCTGGAAAATCATCTGGACTGGCACTAGTGTAGCCGAGGCCAGGCGTGCAGCAGCCAGCTGGCCCGCACAAGCAGGAGTTGTCAGGGGACGCACCTCATATGGAGTCCGTGTTCTCCGCGATGATTTTGCCGGGGCATTCGCGAAGCTCAAGCCAGATCTGCCAGTACCTGAATTGCTGGACACACCACTGCTCTACAAGATTGAAGCGTTGCCGCCAGGGGTGCAAGCTGAGAACCTGAAAGCTTGGGGCAAAGAGGTTGGTTGGGCCTTCCGTCCGGTTAAGTCCATTGGACCGACGACCTGGCTCTTGGCTTGTGCTGACCCACCCCCAATGCCGGTTTTAGACTTCAACTATCACAAGGTCCTCGCCAAGCCTGTTCCTAAGAAGTTGCCCAGGAATCAGCCAGTTGTGCTTGCAGGCAATGCCAGAGCATCCGGATCTGGATCCCACAGCGAATTTGACCACTCCACCACACGTGACCCTTGGCTTGACTCTGACCCGTGGCAAACCTTTCGCCCCAGTAGTGCCACATCGGCCCGGCACACCGGAGCTCAGGGATCAGTGCCAGCCGAGAAGCGTACAGTGATTGGTCCTGTTGCCGAGCTGTTTGAGAAACAGGGCAGCCGCATTGCACACCTCGAAGCAACCATTTGTGAAATTCAGAAGGATCAGCGTGGCCTGCTTGATTTGCAGCAGAAGCAATACACTGAGCACAGCCAAGTTGTTCAGAACGTGCGTACTGAGTTTAGTAATACCCTGCACCAGGTCAAGACCGAATTGCATCAAGCGGTCCAGACTTCCATCACTGCTGCCGGCCAGCAGCAGGAAGCACGCATGAATGAACAGTTCAGCGAGTTGAAAGCGCTCCTTCTTGAGGAACGGAGCACCAGGCGTAGGACTGCCGACATGCAGTCCTGACTAGCCCAATGTAGTTGCAACGGGGTTTTGCCTTCTTGCTTCTTGTGTGAAGGCAGGGGAATCACGGCCACACTGTGCCCCATCATTAGTGTGACCATTGCAGCTCCTTGTGCTTGTCAGCTCATTTTGACCTCATTTTCCACCAGCGCGACTAGGCCTTTGCCTCTCAGGGGTATGAGAATCGGCGAGGCTTCAAATCCAGGGCCTCGCAGAGGCACTTTTCGTGATGAATTCGTTTTTATGGTCAGTAACCCGACCACACTCCACAATCGCAGCGACGTCCTAGCTGCCTCGCCTGCAGACATCATGGTTTTTAGTGAGACCAGTGCCACTGAAATCACCCAAACACAGGAATCTCTCTTGATGAAACGCAAAGGATGGAATTCCGTCATGGGAGCTCCAGTACCAGCCCAGCGAATTCGCAAGGATGGTGAGCCAGGCAACCGTGGCGCCTTTTCAGGAGTGTGCCTTTTCTCAAAACTTCCATGCCGACCACCTCGTAAGCCAGTCCCGCCTGAGTGGGCCGCTACTTGTAGGTTGATGGAAGCCTGGGTTAAAGTTGCTTCACTTGAAATTCGTATCATCGTCTTGTACGGTGTTGCAGGAAAAACGCCCTTGGCAGTCAGTCAGACACAACTCCTGCTTCAACAGGCAGTTGCCATGGCCGAGGAACTACCTGTTCCTACCATTATTGCAGGCGACATGAACCATGACGTTACGGCCTTTGATCGCAGAAGCACACCAGCTTGGCCGGCAAATGACAGGGGCTGAAACTGGGTGCACCTGTCGAAATGCCACTAGAAACGACACCGCCCTCCTCTCACCGGAGCTTGTTCCGTACGTGAAGTGGGTCGAAGTGAAAGATTTCTTCTGGTTTGACTCCCACGCGCCACTTTTCATCACCTTCCATACGCCAACGACCCAGCTGTTTACACACAGATGGAACCTGCCACGTTCCTGGTGTGACCTTGGTGTCAGCAAAGACATGCTCGCCAAGACATACCGTGAGGCCTGCCGCGGTGTTGACATGCCAACCACGCCTCTAAGTGATCCTGCTTCTGCTGAAGCCGCAATCATTCAGTGGGCCAAGCTCAACGAGCAAGCTGTTTCCCAAGCCTTGAGTGCGCACAACCACGCAGCTCCAGAGCAGCAACCCAACAAAGGTTTGCCCAAGGCATATCGTGGGAGGTGCACCTACAGGAAACGCACGGCTCATCCAATCAGTCAGCCACCTC